TTATTTTATTTGTTTTATTTGTGGGAATGAGAGGAATGCATAAAAACCAAAAAAGACAATGCGTCAGACCATAACCATGATACACCAACCAAGATCAATTGTTTAACAATTTCATCGACAAGCTTAAAAGGAAAATTATCAAAGTGTAACATTAATTAATATTAAATGAAAATTAGGAAACAAAATATATAAAAAAGTATATGGAAGAAACAAAAATGCAAAGCTAAGCGCCGAAGGCTATTTGTATGGCTCTTGGATTCTTACTTATAGCAAATCGTGCTTGCCAGCTTTACTCGATAAATTCGTCTTATGGCTGAAACAGTATAAAATCTAGCTAACAAAAATTTATCCTGAAATAATAATAAATAAATAAAATCTCTGAACACAAAAGTCTGAAATTTTGCAAATCCAGTCTTTGGGTTTTTGCCATTTGGGTTTTCTTCTGTCTCATCTGGTTTTAGAGAGAGAAAGAGTGGAAGAGGAGGAAGAGGAAGGGGAAGAAGAAGATGACTGAGAATCGTGTGGTATTGGCTCTGTTTATACTCTGCATTGCAGGGTTTGAGCCAAGTTTCATCCATGGAGCCACAGATGCATCAGATAGTGAGTTTGCTTTTAATCCTCCACTCTGTTTTCTCTTTATCTTCCAAAAAGTCTCGATCTTTTCAGGTTTTTTTATCCATCACTTGTGTTAAGTTTCAAATTCTGGGTTTATGTTTCTCCTTACGAACTTTTGATTTCTTCATCCCCAAAACTCAACTTTTGTCATAAATGTTCCTTTCTTCAAAATGGGTTCGTTTCCGGTTTCCCCAAATCTCGAATCTTTTCTCTTTTCCATCCACTTTCTGTTTTGTTTCCTTTTTTTCCTTTCTTGTGGGTTTCTTCTCTTTTCTGGGTTTTTTTGTGTTTTTTTTTTTTGTTTCAGCCACAACCATTTCTTCAATTAGACCTGAAAACTTTAATAGTTCATAAAATCTAAAATCTTGGATCTGCTTCATGTAACCGACAAAAAAAAGTCAAGATGATTATGATTGCAATAGTTCCCTCACGGTCTCTGATTCTCAATATGTGCAGCTTCGGCGTTGAACGCCATGTTCACCTCCATGAATTCTCCAGGACAGCTATCACAATGGACAGGGTCAGGAGGTGATCCCTGTGGACAAAACTGGAAAGGCGTAACATGTTCTGGCTCAAGAGTTACTCAAATGTAATGATCTTTTGTATCATAATCATTATTCACTATCTTGTTTTGTTTTGTGTCGATGCTTAATTAATTTGGATGTTGTCTACTTGCAGTAAACTATCAGGTCTTGGACTCTCTGGATCACTAGGATTCACGCTTGATAAATTGACTTCTGTTACTGAGTTGTAAGATTCATCCAATACTCCAAAGTTTCCTCCTTTTTGTTTTGTTGCATTTAATGGCATAGCTTATAAATAGTCTCATGGATTTGTTTTTGGTGAAACCTGCAGTGATCTAAGCAACAACAATCTTAATGGCGATTTACCGTATCAGCTTCCTCCAAATTTGGAGCGATTGTATGTTTTTGACGATTCTCTCTATTTCTTTTACAAAGTTTCTATCTTTCTGTTTCCAAGTATATAAAATTTCTGTTTTTTTTTTTCAGGAATCTTGCTAATAACCAGTTCACTGGATCTGTTCAGTACTCCATTTCTCTAATGACACCTCTCAAGTACCTGTAAGTTCTTCAACTAATTCATCTTCTGACATCTCATGGAGAAAGATTGCTTTATTTGATGCTTCTTTTGGTTTTGCTCAGCAATCTTGCTCACAACCAGCTGAAGAACCTAGCTACTGACTTCACCAAACTCACCTCTCTCTCTATCTTGTAAGTTCCTTTTCTTTCCCGAGTTAAATCAGTCAATGCATCAATGTTTTGACAATATTAATGTGTGTTTACAGGGACCTCTCTTCCAATCAAATCACTGGTTCTCTTCCGAGCACCTTTAGCTTTCTCTCAAGTGCAAAATCAATGTAAGCCTTCGTTTAGTAGCCTCCCTGTATTAAAAGAACCTAACTAGTTACAACTAACACTGTGTTTATTATTGAATGAACTTCACAGTTATCTTCAGAACAATCAGCTCTCAGGCACCATTGATATCCTAGCCACTCTTTCTCTCGATAATCTGTGGGTAGCTTCAGCTTTATCCGTTTTTTGAACTCATATCACATTTAAACATCATTTGAATGTTTGTTCTTGCTTGAATGCTTCCTCAGGAACATTGCAAACAATCGCTTCACAGGCTGGATCCCTGATTCTTTGAAAGGCATTAACTTGCAGTAAGTTTTTCATTAGTTTCTTCCATCGTCTTGGAACTTACTTTTTTCTCATCTCACTAATTTTTTTTCATGATTGATTTTGAAAACAGAAAAGATGGTAATGCATTCAATTCCGGGCCTGCACCTCCACCACCTCCCGGTACACCTCCAATCAGTAAATCACCTACTCCCAAGTCCGGTAACCGCACACCCCGGTCCAATGGTGATTCCAGCAGTAGCAACGACTCCAGCAAAACAGGGATTGGAGCTGGTGGCATAGCAGGAATTGTCATTTCATTGTTGGTTGTAACCGCAGTGGTAGCGTTCTTCCTGATCAAGAAGAAACGATCGAAGAGGACGTCCTCCACAGACATTGAAAAGACTGATAACATTAACCAGCCCTTCACACTCGCTTCAAATGACTTTCATCAAGGTAACAAGAATTTGTATATACATTTTAAGTGTTGTTCTTATGGATTTCTAAACTCTGTATTCATGGTGTTGCAGAGAATAAGTCTATACAGAATCCACCATTAGTTGTGACAAAGAAACTGGATACTTCATTGTCAATGAATCTACGCCCTCCACCAGCTGAGCGACACAAATCGTTTGATGAAGATGATTCATCAACAGCGAGACAACCAATAGTTGCCGCCAAGAAAGCTGCTGTTGTTGTTCCTTCAAATGTGAATACGTATACCGTTGCAGATCTTCAAGTAGCTACCAATAGTTTCAGCGTCGATAATCTTCTTGGTGAAGGGACTTTTGGAAGAGTGTACAGAGCTCAGTTTAATGACGGAAAGGTATTTACTTTCATAGATATCCTTACATGTAACGCAGCACAGTGACATAATCTTCTGCTTGCTGAGATATTGTTTTTGATCTTAATAGGTACTTGCTGTGAAGAAAATAGACTCATCTGCACTCCCCACTGACACAGCTGATGATTTCACCGAAATGGTATCGAAGATTGCGCATTTGGATCATGAAAATGTGACAAAGCTCGACGGTTACTGTTCAGAACACGGTCAACACTTGGTGGTCTATGAGTTCCATAGAAACGGCTCATTGCATGACTTCTTACATCTTTCGGAAGATGAAAGCAAACCATTGATATGGAACCCTCGTGTCAAGATCGCTCTTGGCACTGCACGTGCGTTGGAGTAAGTCTTTTAAACAATCTCAAAACCACATCACTACCCGTTATATGGCAAGCAAGGAGTCTCATGGAAAGTGTTGTTGCTGTTGTTGTTGTTTCAGGTACTTGCATGAAGTTTGTTCACCATCTATAGTCCACAAGAACATCAAATCAGCAAATATCTTACTTGACTCAGAGCTGAATCCTCACCTCTCAGACTCAGGTCTCGCTAGCTTCCTCCCCACCGCAAATGAGGTATGTGCAGAAACTGGCAACAGCTTTTTTATCTTTCTTTCTTTCTTTCTCCATTACTTATGATTATGATTATGTTTGTGCAGCTACTGAACCAAAACGACGAAGGATACAGCGCACCAGAAGTTTCAATGTCAGGCCAATACTCTTTGAAGAGCGATGTATACAGTTTCGGAGTAGTGATGCTTGAGCTTCTAACCGGGAGAAAACCATTCGACAGGTACTGTTATGATCTTTATTCTCTGGAAAGATGTGGAAATGTTACTGTGAAGAGAGATTACTGATGTTTCTTGGTGATATTGTTGTGTGACAGTACAAGGTCAAGATCCGAGCAGTCGTTGGTGAGATGGGCAACACCTCAGCTTCACGACATTGATGCTTTGAGCAAAATGGTTGATCCAGCGCTCAAAGGGCTTTACCCGGTTAAATCTCTCTCCCGGTTCGCAGATGTTATCGCCCTTTGCGTCCAGGTAATACATATATACATAGAAATGTGTGTCTGCTGATAGGTAAAAGTTGAAATCTGAATGTAAAATTGTGTGTGTGTGTGTTTTTTTTTTTTTAATCTTGTAACAGCCGGAGCCAGAGTTTAGACCACCGATGTCTGAAGTGGTGCAGGCGTTGGTTGTGTTGGTGCAGAGAGCTAACATGAGCAAAAGAACCGTCGCAGGTAGCTCCGGCGCCAATGATTACATGTAAATTCTTTACCTGAGCGAACCCAAAAAAACACTCTGCCGTTTTTTTCTTGTCTGCTCGGATTCTTGGGTCGGATGAGAGCAAGTGACAGAGACAGTCAAACAAAACAATTTTTTTTTTTTTTTTTTTTTTGTGGTTTCATAATAACTGAGAGAAAAACAACAACAGCATCAACTATCACGCATTGTACAATCCCATATTTCCCTTGTAATATGTTGCCAAATTTGTAGCATTTTAGATTCCGACAACATGAAGAAAGTCATCATCCCCTTTTGTGATTTCCGAGCGAAGACGGTCTCTTAATTTCCACTGTAATTTCTTTTTGGTTTGAATATTTTTTCTTGTTAATAAATGAAATATAATCAATTTCAAGTTGTGTTATGCTACTGAACTGATCCAGAAATTGATACAGAATCCAAACCCATGTATTAGAAACCCGACTCGGACGGAACATTAACATACATGCATGCATGTTACCACACCGTTTTGCTTTATAGAAGATAAACATAGAGAGAACGCCATGTGGACACTTTTATGACACGTGGCTTACAGTGGAAGCGTATAAACCGACTATAGACATGCACCATATATTATACACGCAGGCTCCATTGGAAAACTAATCAAAACAGAGTGGGAATGATGATCCGAAAGTGGTGGAGACCGGTCGGGACCGCCTGGAAGTGTGATAGTCGGTACAACGGAGTGAGGACAATGGTTGGAAAAGCCTCGAACCGAGCCGGTGTTCATGGTTCAAGGACTCCCGACGCTAAAGTACTTGAAAATGTAAAGTAAATGTAGCCAATTGGCCATTAATTTACAGATATTACAAGATTTCATTATATATTTTGTCGTAGTTACTAACTAATTACGAAATTAAATTCTTCTAAGGGATAGGAGGAAGAGATTAGGGAGAGGATCAGTAAAGGGAGAGAAGACAAAGAAGAGAAAAGAAAGAAGGTCGAAAAAAAACTTGAGGGCTCGCAAAAAGGATCCAACGGCGACGACGAATCATCTGCCCGGTGATGATACATGCCTCGTGGTTCCTTTTCTTATTGTCTACTCTTCTTTAATGACAACAATTTTCAGATATAATACATAATGGTCTAAAGTGTATCTTTTGAATCTTCACATTTGAACCAAAAAAAGAAGTGTATTTTCTGAATCTTACATTTAAACGCTGCGGTTGCGGTTGCGGGAGTTTGCGGTTGCGGGAGTTTGCGGAAGCGGGAGTTTGCGATTAAAAGCTGTTTGTACGACTGGTACAGCAATTCATAGCGGTTGCGTTTGCGGGATATTTTTGACTGGTTAACCAGCGGGTGCAAGAGCGGTTTAACCAAAAGTTACTAAAATAAACATAATATATAATTATTTAAAACATTTATAACCATATTATTAATAGATTTTTTTTATAAATATATTCTTTGATTAATTTTTAATTTGAAAACTACCCTTATTTTTTTTGGTTTTGAAAAATACACTTTTTATATGTGAAATGATTATTGAACTTTTTAACTAATTTAATAAAAACGAAATTCAAATAAGAAATATAAAATATTAAGATTTGATAATAATTTTGTATCATTTTAACATACTAAACCATCCTAATTACCTGTTTAGATTTTTTTTTAAAAATCAATAAAAATATAAGGTTATTTATATAAAGTTTAAATGGGGTGAGATTAAAGTTGTTTATATAAAGTTTCAAAAATATTTAAATTTGTCTAAAGATAAACATTAAAAATGAAAGATATATTTCTCCATTTTTAAATTTTTAATAATTCATAAACTTTAAAATATGTAAAGTTTTAATTTATTTAAAGTTTCATTTGGTTGGAATGTGTATGAGGTTAAGTTGTTTACATAAAGGTCCAAAATATTAAAATTTGTTTCAATTTAACATATACTGAAAAAAAAACTTATTAATTTATTATTTTTTTAATTTTCGTTTTTAATTTGTAATTATTTATTATTTTTTGTTTAAATCACGTCAAAACAGACTTTTTACATTAAAAGTGTATTTTTCAAAACAGAAAAAATTATGGTATTTTCGAAATTTTTAAACATAATTAGGGTATTTTTCAAAAAAAATACCCTTATTCCAAATTTGGAGATATTATGTTTTTTTTTTTTTTTTCAAACCGCAACCGCCCGCAACCGCAAACGCTTGCGGAAAGGAGCTTTTGATTTCCAGCGATATAGAGCGGTACAGAGTGGTATAGAGCGGTTCAAAGCGGTTGTCGTGATTGTTATAAAACGCCAAGAACCGCTACGAACCGCAAACGCTGCGTTTGCGGGTGGTAGCGGGAGAACCAATCATCACATTAATCAACAAAAGTAAAGCCCAAAAGTAGTGGTCCATTAATCCTCGACGTTGCCATCTGTGTAGCTTATCCATCTCCTTCTCCGTCACTCTTCTCCTCTACAAAATTTTGCCTCTCAAATCACACACAGGAAATTGAACTTGTCCTTTATACATTTTCTTTAGAATTCCCAATGCATTCTTTAGGTACGTTTACATTCACATTCGCAACATAATAATCCGCCGATGGATTATATATATATATTTTTTTTTGAAATGCTGATTCTTTTTGGATAATTGTTCAAAGTTTGCGCTTCTTCCTTTGTTCATTGCAGAAGTCGTTAAAATGTTTCCATGATTCAAAAAAACTTGCAGATATCGCCACTCCACAAGCTTATCTTTCTCCATTGGGTTCTCAAAATATAATCCAATCTAAATTCTTACAAATTCCACGGAAACAATCCGTCTTCTCGAAGCATTTAGAATTCAACACAAACCTCTCCAAATCCAGCAAACTCGACGAAGCCGTCGTTACCCTCATCGAGAATTCATCCTCACCGTCACCGTCCGATCTCACCACTCCCGAGGCTTACACAGACGTTCTTCACGCCTGCATCTCCGCTAGATCACTCCACCACGGCCAAAAAATCTCCTCTTTAGTTCTCAGCAGCCCCAGTCTCCGCCACGACCCCAAATTGCTAAGCAAACTCATCACTCTCTTCTCCGTTTGCCGCCGATTGGATCTCGCCCGAAAAATCTTCGACGATGTCACCGATCCCACCTTCCTCACCGAGGAAGTTTGGGCGGCGATGGCGATCGGTTACTCTAGAAACGGATCACCGAAAGACGCTCTGCTCACGTATGTCGATATGCTCTGTAGTTTCATCGAGCCAGGGGATTTCTCGATCTCCGTCGCGCTTAAAGCGTGCATCGATCTAAAAGACCTCCGTGTTGGCAGAGCAATCCATTCCCAGATTCTGAAACGGAGGAAGAAGGTTGATCAGGTGGTGAACAATGTGCTGTTGAAGCTCTACATGGAACGCGGCTCGTTCGAAGACGCACGCAAGGTGTTCGACGGAATGCCTGACAGAAACGTCGTCACTTGGAACTCTTTGCTCTCGATACTCAGCAAGAAAGCTAGGGTTCACGAGATGTTCACTCTGTTCAGAAACATGCAGCGAGAGAGAATCGGGTTTAGCTGGGCTACGCTCACGACGATTTTGCCGGCTTGTTCGCGCGTCGCCGCTCTTCTCACCGGGAAAGAGATCCATTCGCAGATTCTGAAGTCGAAAGAGAAGCCTGATGTTCCGTTGCTTAACTCGTTGATGGATATGTATGGGAAATGCGGCGAGGTTGAGTATTCTCGGAGAGTCTTTGATGGGATGTCGAGTAAGGATTTGACCTCATGGAACACGATGCTAAACTGTTACGCGATCAACGGAGATATCGAAGAAGAGATCAATCTTTTTGAGTTGATGGTTAAGTCAGGCGTGGAGCCAGATGGGATTACGTTCGTTGCTTTGTTATCTGGGTGTAGCGACACAGGGCTCACAGAGTATGGTTTGAGTTTGTTTCAACGCATGGAAACTGAGTTTAGAGTCTCACCGGCGTTGGAGCATTATGCTTGTTTGGTTGATATCTTGGGACGAGCTGGTGAAATTCAAGAAGCGGTGAAAGTGATTGAAAGAATGCGTTTTAAGCCGAGTGCTTCCATTTGGGGATCGCTGCTTAACTCTTGTAGGCTTCATGGGAATGTTTTGGTGGGAGAGATTGCAGCGAAGGAGCTGTTTGTTCTTGAACCTCATAATCCTGGGAACTATGTTATGGTTTCGAATATCTACGCTGATGCAAAGATGTGGGATGATGTGGATAAGATCAGAGAGATGATGAGACAGAGAGGGATCAAGAAGGAAGCTGGTTGTAGTTGGGTGCAGGTTAGAGATAAGATTCAGATCTTTGTTGCTGGTGGTGGATTCGAGTTTCGTAATTCGGAGGAGTATAAGAGAGTGTGGACGGAGCTGCAAGAAGCGATTGTGGAATCCGGTTATGCTCCTGATACGAGCGTGGTGCTTCACGATGTTGATGAAGAGACCAAGGCGAATTGGGTTTGTGGACACAGCGAGAGACTTGCGACGACTTATTCTCTGATTCATACAGGTGAAGGGGTTCCGGTTAGGGTTACCAAGAATCTGAGAGTGTGTGGAGATTGTCATTCATGGATGAAGATTGTATCGCAAGTAACTGGGAGAGTTATAGTACTCAGAGACACAAAACGATTCCACCGTTTCGTTGACGGCATCTGCTCTTGTAAAGACTACTGGTGAATATGGAAACTATGCCACAAGTACACAAATTTAACATTTGGTATCACAAGTGAAAATTGTTATCAAACTCATTGATAATCATATTTGAAGATAATGGAAAAAGAGGTTGAAATCACAAAAGCAACCTAACTTCTTGGTTACGTTTGTAGGACTTAAACTTCTACAAGTACCAACTGAAAAATTGCTTCACAGTGTCATCGTAGCATTTTTGGTTAGGGTGGACAATAAATTACAGTCAAAGAAGAAAACACATCATGAAGAGAAGCAGTGGAGTGTTCAGCAAGAAAGATAAAGAAGATCATGGTCATGGGTTTTAGACTTTTAGTTAACAAATTTCAAAATAGAAACTTTCTTTCTTTTCCTTTTTTTTTTTTTCTTTTTTCTTTGGGTATTCGAGTTTAGGAAGTTTTTCTTTCAAGTATCTATAAATATGGTCTGTTCTTCACGAAAACAAATCAAACAAAATTGTGGGATTTGAAGATGGGCGAGTATGATTTTATATTGTCAATATTTACCAGCTTTGGCTATATCATGCTTCTGCTTGCATACTATCGATTCTTGATTTATTCTTGTAATCGTGTTTACAATGATGCCGATTCTGATTTTTTGAGCGACGATGATCATAATCCTGATCGTGGCGTTGGCATCAGCGATGACGACCATGTCATTATAACCATCAAGGACTTGGCCTGTATCGACCCTTCACTCCAATCGATCCCCGTCGTAGATTTCAACCCTCGCGATTTCAAAGACGGCTTCCAATGCATCGTTTGCCTCTCAAACCTACTCGACGGAGACAGAGCCAGGCTTTTGCCGACCTGTAATCACTGGTTTCACGCCGACTGCATCGACACGTGGCTTCAATCGCACTCCACTTGTCCTATCTGCAGAACCGAGGTTGGTTCGATGCAGCGAGGGACGAGACCGGGACTTGGCTACGAGGGATTGACTACGAACGTGGCGGGTTACTCAAGATGCTAATTCTGGCGAGGCAATATCTTGTTGTCATGAACACCTGAAGTTTACTTAATAATAAATTTCTCGAGCACTTCTTTTTTGATGAAGTAGTTTTTTTTAACCTTTTTGTTTTTCCTATCTAAATATTTTCGTGGTTCGATACTTCGATTGATCTAATTCTAATTGCAACAGAAATCTAATGGCTATAACTAATTCAGACACATAATATAATTAATCGAGTAATGGTTTAATGGCTATAACAAACATGTCTATTAATACTTGTTACTTGTTCCGTACGTATAAATATTAACTTATGTTATTTATTATCTTGCCCTTAATTAATATCGACGAATGCTTCTGTATTCCAAAACGGGTAAAGCCGTAAAGAACAAGTAACATGAAAATTAGTTATTCCGAATAATATTGTTGGGGGTTTGTGATGTCTATATTAGCATGAGATTGTATTTTATGGGACACAAATTATTATGTTTTTAATCGTCAGAAAATAAACAACGTTAACCATACGGATATACACAAGAGAGAAATTGGTGTGTTCTTATGATCTTATCTAAAGAAAAATAATTAAACAAACATTCTTATTTATGGATAATTGTATATATAAAAGTATATTGTTCCACGAAAGGCACGAGTAGTCGTCATCTAGTTCTATAAAAATAGAAAAAGCGTTCTCTTTAGGGTTTTCGATCGAGAGATTGATAGATATTACAAAGTGTTTTCGTAGATGGATGAAGTGGTAGAGAATCTCGTCATGTTGGCGATGATTATCTTGATTTGTTGTGGAGGGGCATTGTGTTTTATTTGTCTGGACTCTGATAATCGGCGCAACAATGATCATCCGACTGATCATCAACCCCCTCGTAGTTTTCATGAACTAATCCAAACCATCAAACCCACCGGCACGTACAAGCCTCCACCTCCCCGACCAATCCCCGTCGTGAAGTTTAAGTCTCGTGACTTCAAAGACGGCGTCGAATGCGTTGTGTGCCTATCTGAGCTAGCCGAGGGAGACGAAGCCAGGGTTTTGCCGACCTGTAATCACTGCTTTCACGCCTATTGCATCGACACGTGGCTTCAGTCGAATTCGAATTGTCCTGTCTGCAGAAAAAACGTTGTTGGCCGTTTGATACCAAATCACGGCTCAAGTTCCGTACCTCGTACGAGCAGTGACGCTAATCCCGAGGTTGTGATAGACATTCCGTCGTAACCTAAACTTCCAGAATTGACAATCGGTTTATCTTATTGTATAAACCAATACTTAGTTTTTCTTATTGTATAAACCGATACTTAGTTTTTCTTATTGTATAAACCAATAATTATGATAGTAATAGTATTTCTTTGGCACATTTAAGAAATACAGTATAGTGGAAAAATATGGTCATGCATGCTGATTAGTTTGGATATTAATCCAAAGTCCAAACTTTATCATTGATTTCTTTTTTGCTTGCGAGCTATTTCTATTATTTTTTAAATGTTTGCATGATTAATTTAAATTCTTTGGTTTTTGGAAAATTTATCTGATTTTATTCGCGTTTTCGTTAAGTATTGGTAAAAAAGAAAATTTGGGAATGGAACTTGGTTAGAAAGATACGTTAAACAAGTTGATGATTAGAAATGGAATTTGTTTTTTGGTACGTTATTATAGATAGGTAGGAAAGGTATCGTAACTATAATGGAATTCGGTTTTTGTTACATTAAATAAGTTTGATGATTAATATGCTTGAGAAACAAGAATGAGCTGTGTCTAATTTGTGTATACTAGGAATCTGTGTTCAAAACATAGTTAATCGTTCATGGGGTGACCGAGCCAAAATTAAAGATTTTTGATAAAACGAAGATTAACCGGAGATTAATCGGGGAGGAAATTTTACCACATTTTGTATATTTTTGAAATATTTTCATATATATAACTATATAAGTAATATATTTCAAAAAAATAGATATTGTTTTTTTTCAAATAGACTGAAATCATGAAAAATATTTGTAGTCCTGGTTCAAACAATTTTTTCTAAGTAGGCTTCTCTATCAGTTTCTCTTAAAATTAGATATGTGTTACAATTTCGAAAATAACACATTAACATAATGAAGTTATCTCAAATGGACCAAAATTATGAAAAGAATTTGCATTCTGGTCCAAACAATTTATGATATTACATGTTTCTTTTTTGAAAAAATTGACTTTACTCAGTCAACGCAAGTTAACTACACATTACAAGGGATTAATACTCATCGCCACAGTGGCTTACCGATGAGAGATTTTCCGACCGATTAATCGGCACATCGGCCACTTTTTTTTAACAGAGCTAGGAATTGTACCTCCGCGCAAGCGCGGAGTTGTTTGCATATATTTTTGGTTGTTCATCATCATTTATATACTTTACAAACTGTGCTCTTAATGTTTTTCTTTTACGTTGTTCTGTATATATGATATTGATATTTCAAGTCTCCTAGATTGTTTTCTGTTTGTGTCTTTCTTGTTTATCCCCCGAGCTCAAAACTCGGAGGCCGATGTACTAGCTAAGTCTAGCCTCTTTTCATGTAATCCCTCTCTTCGTAGAGGCTAATCTTTATCTCAATATAATTAATCTCGTTCGCACAAAAAAAAGATATTGATGTTTATTTAAATATTTATACAAACAAAAAAAATTTGAGTGATTCTTTTGTTTTTAAATGTTAGAAATAATCAATACTCTAGTTTTTTTTAATATCAAAAACAATAATTTAGTTTTATATATAAGTTATTTTTATTACTTAAATTTAACTGTTAGCTTTCAACAGTTAAACATTTTCCATGAAATTTTATTACATACAGTATCACTTTACATAATATATATTATTATGAAATTAGACATTTTAAATTTTCAGCACATTTTTTTCTTTTAAAAACAAATCTCTTGCATCTACTATTAAAAATTAACTTTTAATCTTTTAAATATTAAGTTCAACAATTTTTATTTATTTTTATTAATTATTTCTTTTTTAATAAATTTTTATATTTTTGGTTGAATAATAAATCATTCAATGATATTATGAAAGTGTATGTATTAATTGAATCATTAATTTTGATTAATTTGTATTTTTTTCTTGCTGATGTGGACACTGTAAGAGGAGAGAACAACTCCCTAATTATATATAAGACTAGGGGGTGACCCGCGCTTCGCGCTGGTTGTGTTAGTTTTATTGTTTTTTCGTAAAGTTAATATTTATTTCTATAATAACTTTCTATTATTATTACTAAATTATAATTTTTGTAGATCTATATATAATTATTTTTAAATGATTGTTCATATTCTTATTAAGTTACTATAGTAATGAATGATACTTATTATAAAAATTAAGATAGAAAAAAAACAAAAATATAATAAATAAATTGATATGTTGATGTGGCAAATTGGAGAATTTAGAAGCCATCAGAAAAGAGGAACATGAACTTTATATATATAGATTTGTTCTTTTAACCTATTAATAATTGAGAGATTTGATATTCTTCGAGAGGGTTTTAGAAGATGGAATTTATAATGATGCTCGTCGTCATCATTTTATCCTATGGGATTTTGTTTGGGGTGGTGATTTGTATTATTGAGTGTTATAAAAAGTTTCTTTGACAATGATCGTGTCGCAGCAATGACCATGTTTCCGGCATTGACCCTTCCGTTCTCCGATCAATACCGGTAGTAGATAGACTTCAACTCTAAAGACTTCAAAGACTACGATCATCAATTAAATATTACCGAAATATTATACACTTCGGAATAAATTTCGGATTTGCTTAACATGATTACCAAAAAAAAAAAATCGGATTTGATTTATTCTATAAAATAAAAATAATCAATTAAAATATCGTTCAAGTCATTTCATTTCATTCTTGAGAGTTTAATTCCATCATAATTTCTTCTTATATATGCATGAGATAAAAGAATAATTATTTACAAATGTATCTGTACTATCTATCTTATATATAATAAGAGGCCATCTCTCTCCAGTTGATCGACACGTCAGCACCGGGGAGAGATGGCCACGTGGCAGCTTCTCCGTTTTTCTCTTTTTTTTTTTGATTTGTTTTTTCTTCCCGATTCTTCTTCTTCTTCGTCGATTCCGGACTCTAAATGTTTCGCTGAATGTCGAATCGTTTATTGCTTCTACCTCTTGGACTCCACTTCATCTAATCACTCTCTTTTTCCAATTTCTAAAATTGTTTGCCGTTGCGTCGATCACTCTCCAAGCTTCCACGATCGGTTCTAATTCACGATTTGTTGGCCAAACGAAGCAGGATGACAATGAGGATTCTAGAGATGAGAAGGAGGGTGAAAAAGAGATGAATGAACTGAAATCCAAGGCAAAATCTGGAGAATTTAACGAGCTTCAGACAGAGGAAGAGATTAAGAATGAGAAAAAGCTTGGTCAGAGTCTGAAGAGGATTACGGCGACGAGGTATCGGAAGAGGAAGAAGAGGAGGATATTGCTGTCTATCGAGTGCGTCGAAGCTGTTTAAGAAGAGGATGGACCAAAAATTGTGTGGTATGTTGCTTTCAACTTTATGTAGGAACTAGGAGCTATTGAGAAATAACATTTTTGTCATATTGCAAATTTTCGTGATTGTGATGGTTTCTACGCAGAGAACATAATGAATCTTAAAAAACAAATATGGTCTGAGTCGATAAGTTCTGAGTCGATGATGTATTATTTGCTGTTTCTACCCATCAATCGCATCAAAGCAAGACTCTTTTAAATGAGGACGAACAGTTTCGTATTCCCTGGTGATGATGATGGTGCCTTCGTCTCTTCAAAACAAATCCTTTTGCTTGCATCTATTTGTGCAAGTCTTTTGACCCTTTCTTTGTATATAATCAAAGAACCTGTTTTTCAGCTTCTACGATGCAAGAATCTGGAATTTGCAACTTTCTGATTCTTCAAGTTTATGTTTTTTTGTTTTCAAAGGTTTTTCACTTGACTGGTTTCATAAGTCCTTTGCTCTTCACTGCTTATGGAAAACTCGATAGCAAAGTTAGGATGGAGTGGAACATCAGGTTTAGTTTTTTTAATCTCTGCATCGAGTTTGATCTTCTTTGCTGGATTATAGATACGTTTTTGAGCAAGAAATGTTTCGTTTTTTCACAGGGGATTCTCAACTTCTCATGCTGTGTTCATTTCTTTGCCGTCAATCTATCTCTTGCTGATATCTGATCAATTTGATGAGAATGTTCATGGCGATTTAGTCATTGATAGTACAACGAAGTTATCAGAACTCAGAAGCTGTAATGGGAGTGAGTTTCCAGGCAATAAAGATCATATCTTCTCTGCATTTGTTGCTGATGAGATAGTAACTTTTGTTTCTGAACAGACTTCCTTATGCTCTTTTCTAGCAGACTTAGCTATGATCATTTCGCATTTTTCTGCTCTTTGTGGTGTTGAATATGTAAGTGTTGAAGCATCATATAATATTTGCTTTTCTTTGAATGAATTGGTATAATTCATATGAAAATATGTTAAATATGTCAATTCAACTCTTCTTATCACTTTCCGAGTTTATTTATAAAGTTCATTTTATAATAGTACTGTATAACATACATTCTTAAAACCAATGCAATTACTGTTAGAGAATTGAGTCCATGATTAAGATATACACCTTTTTTTTGGAACAAAGTTGTTGATGCTTTTGACTTTTGTGACTTTAGTTCTCCTAAATCAACTCAAAATTTAATATAAATAATTAATTAACTGAATAAGTTGGAGTTTCATTTATTTGATATTCAAAGCTATTCATGCAGTTCTGCCAAATATATGTCTCATTTTGGAGTTGCACACGAGTGGGACAAAAAAAAACTTTCGAGAAACTAAACGAAACGTTGGGACGGAGAAGTTTTTTCTGTAATGATCATTTATATACTTTTAAAAATATGTTTCTATTATTTTTCCTTTATTTTTATTTATATTTTTGAAGTTTTCTAATAGATGATGCGTTGTACTTATTTTAAATGATTTAGATAAAATTCGACAACTATTTGTAAGCTTTGGATTTTGGTTCGGGTTTTTAGATTTTTGGGTTCAGAGATATGGAAACCGTTCTTTTTTTTTTAATTTTGGTTCGATTTGGGTTTTTGGTGTTTTGGCCTTTTGGATTTTCTCGGGTTACGGGTTTTTCGGATTTAAAGATATGAAAACCATTCATGTTATTTAAAGTTTAGGTTCTGGTTTGGTCCAGGTTTCCGGTTCAGGTTTTATGATTGGGTAAAATAAACCATCATATTTTAAACAAATAAACTATTTTTACAAAAATGAAAAGATAGATTATACAAAAAAAAAATCGAAAACACCACCCGCGCTGCGGGCTTTAACCTAGTACTATTAAAGTAGAGACACAACAAAAGAAAGTGCACTAACAAAGCGTCTATCCCTATAGCCAAACAAGATTTAACCAGTAATTAACTAAAAAATTAAGAAAGAAACCCGACGCCTACAATTAAACACGCGGATCTTTGGAAATCTAACTTAAATCAAACCGGAGCCACAACTCGATTTTCAGTACAAAACCGGCGACCAATTCAATTCGAATCCTGAAAATATCAAAAAAGGAAGCACGAAAAATCAGCAATTCCATAACTGACATCTTTCCTGTTAATGATTTAAGGGTAGATCCCAAACATGTCGCCTGCATTTAAAATAGCGAATACGCTACATTCCCGTTCTGTAAACAATATCAAAAACTTTCTAACATCTATACTTATTTTCCACGCAAAATTTAAGCAAATCTTCCCACAATCTAAGCTAACTAAAATATTCGCAATCTATTACTTTTAAATACCTCAAAAATTAATTCCGCAAAACCCTAGCACGTTCAAAACGGATCTATACTATAAATATATGCTCATTCAGCAGCACATCATAAGCAGTACACAGAATCATAAATACTATTACGAGAATGACTATTGGGTTCAACAAGAAAGTCACTGTTTCAAGGTGAAAAGGCAGAGAAACAGGTTCGTTTATAAAACCTTTTGACATTCAATAAGGGAAAAGAAACCGAGTTATGTTCTGTTTTTTCAAAAAAAATTATAGAAAATTAGCTAATGTTTTGCTACAGAGACATAGGAGTTAACACAAGTCAGACAATGGTTTACCTGTGATCATCAAGGAGCGAAAGAACATGGGTTTGGTGTTGGTACATCTTCCTGAAAATAAGAAGAGAAAAGGTTTGGAATATGTCAGTTAATATTTTTTATTATCGTTAACATTTTTGTATTATAAATCTGTTTGGAATATGTCATGTTTACTTTGTTAATGTTAGTAGTCCTACTTTTGTGATTTTGAAATCAGACAGTTTGTTCCTATCGTTGGTGAATTTCCAAACCATTTCCGATGGGGTCACAACCATAACTTCTTGATTGGTAAGTCTTTTCAATTAAGGTGTGATTTAAGTTTTTTAAAGATTAATATTACGAAGAAATATCATGATTTCAATAAAGTTATATTGACTATTTGGGGAGAGAAACTACAACAACTTACTTGCGCTTAATCTTTGTTGGCAGATGTTATCTACGGAAATCAAGGATATCCAAACTGTCCAAGTCCAAGTTCACAAACTGTTTGGTTAGTTAATATGATAAGATATTATTAGAATGATATTTTAAGAGTACATTTGATTTTTAGGTACCTGTTATGCTTTCTAATATCCAGGAAAATCCTGTCACTTTTGCAACACATTCATCAACTGGACCTGCAATATACATCAAATAAGTCTTGCACACAAAAATCTTTGGTGAAGACTATGGCAGAGGAGTTTAAGAAAACTAAGGTAAAGGTGAGGATACTAAGAAGAATAAGGGCACATCTTTCAAGACAACTAAAGTGAGTTTAGACGAGACAAGAACTATGGAGGGTTTAGACGAGAAAACTTAGTTTGTAGACAAGTTTAATATGATCTCAGAATGATCGTTTCATTTTCTTTGATAATAAAGTGTTCTAAACTTTTATGTATCTATTGTAAATTCATATAAAATATTTTGAAAAAGTCTACCTATGACATGAGAAATTTGCTTCGAGGAAGAAACTAGGTGAGGTAAAGTTGTTTACCTGCGTTTTCTAAAGGGACTCGAGTTGATTGGAGATTGACTTCTTGGGTCTGAAATGTAGTGAAATAAGCATAAACAATATCAAGATTTTTTGTTTACGCATAACAAAATAAGAAGTTAAATACTTTTTCTTTGTGCTTCAACGAAATAAAATCAGAGATGAATTCAAAAATTACATGGTTGGGTTTTACAAAACAGGTAGAGCTTGATTCTTCTTTCTTCTATCTTCTACCTTATCTGCTGCAGAAAGACAAAAAAAAATCAGATGAATGGTTCACAGACTTTGACTTTGCAATCGAGAAGAATCTATTGTAAATAATTCAATCGTTAGCAGCTTACAAGAAAAGCCACACCATGGCAAACACCAAAAAACACATTTACGCACACCACATGTCAATTTCAATGACTACTCTTTTATGTTTCACATAATACTTTCAAACATCATGACGAATCCAAGTAAAGGTCCTGCATGTTTGAAAGCAAAACGAGGCAACATCTGCACAGACATTAGAGCTGATTTTAGCTAAGGAAAAGGGTAACAAAATGTTAATAGAACACAATACATTATTCTGAATTCTTTCTCTATTAACTGTGGTCATGTTCATGTAGGTGACAACAATGTGACCTGCTACTTGGCTTCATAAAACAAAGCAGGAGTGTGCTATAATCAATTCCATCTATTTCAAAAAAAAGCAATTCCATCCATAGCAGAACTTATGTGATCTAAGAGCAAGATCTAAACATCTTTGCTAACAAGAAATTTATCCAACGATACAATAGTAGAAACCTCTATAAGCATTAAGCAAAAACCAAACTTTCTAACTGAGAATGAAACCCAAGCCATAGCATCACTTCTTCTTCACGGATAGACAACCCAACATGCACAGAACTGGAAACCAAAAAAACTCATAGTTAACGAATAAAAACATATCGATAACACATGCATACGTTATGAGCAAACTCTTTAGTTAGATTCATAGTTAACGGTTGTTAGGATTATTTGAGCCTAAAGCTGACGCCTCTACAACTCTATAACACCAACAAACCAAGATCCTGCAGAGAAACAGAGTCTGAACACTAAGAAGAAGGAACCAAATAAGAACAGAGAAGCGATAAGAAGAAGAGCACACGAGAGCATTTAACGAGTTCGTGCCTGTTAAAGAAGGTCACTACGTCTCGGCCGGGATCAGTGTCACCGGAATCCACTAAATCACAAGGTTTTACAAGAGATCAAAACACCCAAAACTTTCTTACAAGATTTATTCTCTCTGTTTTTATATCTCCCCTGTTTTTCCCCAAGAACACTCACACTTACTTATAAAATGAAAAAGTGTCTCACTTCTTTCTCGTGTCTATCTCTAAAACGTTATGCAGATATTTCTAAGAACATTAAGGTTCTAATCCAAAAAACGTAAAGGTTCTTTCTCATCTTTAGAAACCGGTATGAACGTGGGAACAATTAAGATATACCTGGGTTAAATGACGTCATCGTCTTCCATACAACACAGTCCCTGTAGTTTCTATCAAGGGAAGGTTTACAGGTGAGGATCCTTCTTTAAACCATTGATGAACTGGGAAGAAGCGGAAGTATAGTCCTGAATTGAAAGGAAAAGAAAACAAATTAGAGATGCTAAATTTATTAAGATCATCAACATAAACAAATATTATATCCAAACTGAAGGTGAAACTAAGTTTAGAAATGCCTGTGCGATGGATTCGCTGTGATTTGAAGCTTGACACTGAAATTTGCAGAAGCTGCATCAAAAGAAACGAAGAACGAGGTGAATCTGCCGGTGAAAGGAGAAATTGCAGGTCATCGCACTATCTAATCGAGCTAAATCTGCAGGTGAAATCGAAGGCAAGATTTAAAGTTCTCGATTCTGCAAATTGGGAAGAATGAGTTATAACTGAGGTTTCAGAAAGAAATGCATGGGTTTTATGAATCAGGAGAGCCCATTTTTGGGTCTCAGGAGAGCTCAATTTATCGATAGACTCGGCATTCCCTTAGCCTATATGAGGAAGAAGAAGAGATCGGAAGGGAGAAGAGCTCGCAAGTGGGAGAAGGCAAATGAAAGTGGCGATGTATGAGAGAAGGAAGAAGTGAAAGACTCTATGGCAGGAAGAGGCTTTCATTGGATTCAAAGAACCTTATGTTATGTCATTTCTTTTATGTTGTGTCGTTTTAATAAGAAGCTACAGTGAGAGCTACAACAACCCTCTTAAAAACCTAATGCTTACAGATTTAATCAACTCAAACTTTAGTAACATCACAAGTTAGAATCAACATATTTTTTAGATATGGGTCTTTTGGAGAGACGGAAACAATAATAGATTTAATTAAATCTGAAAATTTGTAATTTTGACTTTGTTTCATAGACAAATTTACAAATGGAAAAAAAAAAGATTAGATCTACAGAGAAAGTATCGTTTTCTTAACACATAAATTTCTCTTCCTAAAATGAGCTTCACACTAATAACAAAAAATAATATGGATAGACACTTTAGTTCTATTTAATTAAATGTTAAAACAATATCCAATCTTAAATATCTAATATTCACAAATTTAATTAACTCAATGGTTACCAACATCATGGGTCAGACCCAACATTCTTTTAAATTTAGATTTTTTTGAGAGAGAAAAAAAACATATCTAATCAAATGTGAAAATTTGTAATCTTGATTTTAACATGTTTGTGTGATAGTGTGTGTTCAGGTAAGGAATTAGCAAGAATCAGAGTGATTAGCTTTTATAAAGCTGTAACCTTTAGATTTCAGTGTTAACGTCTAGCTATAGAACAAGCTCCATTGACGCAAAATCACATTTGATGCAATGATAAGAGACTGTTTCGCAAAATCACATTTGATGCAACGACATCTATAACAGCTTATATACAGAACATACTATATCAATATACAATTCAATTAACAACACAATCAACCAACACAATGGAACCAAATTTGTCACAGAACTTTCACGATTGACACAAAACTTATATGAAATTGAAATACACATCAGAAATCAATATACTATGCGTCTAATTCAATGTCAAAGGCAATAGATACACGATTTCAGTTACTAATTCACAAAACAGATACACGATTTACCAAATAGTTTTCAAGGTTGATCAAATAAAATCTCTAAAATCAGCTACTAATAGCAACTCATAATAATGGAATCATAGAGTTACAAACCTTACAGAGGATAGGAATCGATCGAGATCGTACAGCGATGGAGAAGAAGAAAAAGAGAAACGTCGTGAAGGAGAAAAGAGACCAAGGAGAAGGAGAAGAACAACAACAACAACGTCGACCAACGACGACAAAACACTTCGAGATCATAGAAGAAGAACTCTCGGTGGCGGTGGAGAAGAAGAAGAAGAGAAACGGCGTGTGAAGGAGAAAGGAGACCAAGGAGAAGGAGAAGAACAAGAACAACAACGTCGAACAACGACGAGATAAACAACCGGGGATCGAAGAAGGAATTCGACCAGCCGTTCGGATCGGAGAAGAAGACGTAGAGATCGAGGAAACTCAATTTTGAATAACGCAAAATGAAATAAAAGAAAAACATAACGAAAAACAAAATTACTCTAAGAAATAAGTAAAATAGTATTAAATAATTGAGGGTTAAAATATGGTTAAAAAAACATATGTTGCCATAACAACATTTTAATCAAATCTGAAAACAAGAAACTTAATATCTATACTATTAAAGATGCTGATTTCGGTGCTGCTCTGGTGCTGTTAACTCAAAAAAAAAAATCTTCAAAAATCACAACATCTGGTGCTGCTCAATATTAGACGCAAGCAAACCGTAAAACGACACATATTTATATTATATTATTCAGATGCCGATTTCGGTTTGATTTCGTTCTCTCGGGGTCAGAATCTAGCTTCAAATAGTAACAATTTTTAACTCATCCAAATTTAACATTAATGATCGCATATTTATTTAATCTCATCCTTGGATAATCAAAATAAAACTAATTCATCATTATATATCACAAACATGCATACTTTTTTTTACATAATTGTATCAATAGTTAAAATGTTCTTTTAGAAATCACAACATCCCGTGCTTCCCAAGCACGGGTCAAGACCTAGTTCTGAAATTAAAGTGAAGCGGTTAGCTAGATTATCCATTTTTTTTTAACATTATGAATAATAAATACAAAATGGTCATATAGTTAATCATCTATATATTACTCAATCAAGAAATCATTTGTAAATGTTCTTTTTTTTTACATCATTCATGTACATGTTCATGTAGATGGAAAAAGAACTATTAAGAACCCTAATTGACGATTAAATAAATCAACCATAAAATTCGTTTTACCAAAGAGAAACATAAAGAGTGGTAACCATAATCGAACATGGAAGCCACATTGTAGTTGACATTCCTTTTGCGTCCAAACTCATTCTTTACTTCATGAAATTATAACTTATAAATAATCACTCACCATAGGCATTTCTCTTTACCACCCAAATAAACCATCTTTTATAGTCACACCTCAAAGATGACGACCACTTCGTCAACGACCCAAGTCCTTGTCTTTACAGTTTCCCTTCTGTTGGTCGCTTTCCAAGCAGTCCATGCAGACTATTACCTTCCAAGGCCACCAGTTATACCCCTAGCCCCTACTTCCCTAGGCCACGGTTCCCACTTCCGAGCCCGAGCCCAAGCCCCAAGCCTGTTTATCGGCCTCCTACTACACCGGTTCTACATGCTGGCTCAATCGCTAGACTGTTCCTTGACCCACATAACGCGCTTTGGTCCAGGCTAGGTATTCACTATTAGTTAAAAAGATGTTTCCAATCATTTCACTATGATTTTAGTCATGATTAGCCAGCCAATTTTTCATCTGTCCATGAGATTAGTCTAGGTTTTTACCTAGGATTTTCAGGTTAAAAAAAAAATATATACATTCTTATTTTAGATATCTACAAAATTTCGGAGTACAAAGAAATTTTGAATTTTGGTGGTGGAATTTAGATAGTTTACGTGTATAACTTAAACAAATACTGTACTTAACTTTTGATTGTCTAATGTTATTGTTATTGATGTTGGTGAATTAATGAATCTCGTTTCTATTATTTTTTTAAATGTTTGCATGATTAATTTAATTGCATCGTTTGTCACTGTAAAACAAAATTCTTCATTTTTTGGAAATATTTATCTGATTTTGCATATATTCGTCATTTGTTAAAAAAGAAAATTTGGGAATGGAACTTGGTTAGAAAGATACGTTAAACAAGTTGATGCTTAGAAATGGAACTTGGTTTTTGTTACGTTATTATAAATACGTACGTAAGAAAGGTATCGTAATTAGAATGGAACTCGGATTTTGTTACGTTAAATAAGTTTGATGATTATGCTTGGGAAACAAGAAAGAGCTGTCTCTAATAGTCTAATTTGTGTATATTTTTTCTTAACCTATGAATAATTGAGAGATTTGATATTCTTCGAGGGTTTTAAAAGATGGAATTTATAATGATGCTCATCGTCGTCATTTTATCCTATGGGATTTTGTTTGGGGTGTTTATTTGTATTATTGAATGTTGTACATTTTTCTGTAACAATTATGATGATGACAACAATGATCGTGTCAGCAGCAATGTTCATGTTTCCGGCATCGACCCTTCCGTTCTCCGATCAATCCCCGTCGTAGACTTCAACTCTAAAGACTTCAAAGATGACGTCGAGTGCGTCGTTTGTCTCTCTGATATCGTCGATGGAGAGAAAGCCAGACTTTTGCTTAGCTGTAGTCACTGGTTTCACGCCGGTTGCATCGAAATGTGGCTTCAATCGCACTCCACTTGTCCGATCTGCAGAAATCAAAGTTGAAGGAGCGAGACCGGAACTTGGTGACGAAGAGAGTATTCCGTGGTTACTGAAGACGTTGGTTTCCGACGAAGCATTCGAAGTTCGACCAGATTTAAAGTTTGTGGTAGACATTCCGGCGAACGAAATTGAAAGTTTAATTACCCGCTAGATTCGAGCATTTTAGCCAATTTCGGCCCATATGCCCATGTATAAATCTAAGAGCAGCATCTCAAAAAAAATTAAAATATCATTATAACTTATATTTTGCAATTAAATTAAAAAAATATGAACCAATAAGAGAGTGACAAGTATGACTTAGAGTTCATGAGTATCTCAAAGTTTTCATTTCTCTCCTACATTTTTTAGAACCTTTTTTTTTTTTCATTTTTTAAGGAGATTTATTGGTTCATGAATTTTGGGTTTACAAATCTAAGCGAAAATCCTTCTTTATTGGATTAATGATTTTAAAATTTTTGTCAAAATCTCCCCTTATTTATTTAGTGATTTCTAAATACTAAATGAAATCCGGTGTTATTGGTTTAATGTTTTCTTATTTAGATTTCAATAGATTTAGAAGTGTTTTTTAAGTTAAAAATACAAAGAATCAAATCCAAGGTATTTCAAAATTCATCATTCCAATTTAAAGATTTTCAAATCTTATATGGATTTGAGAATCACACAAACTTTATCTCCAAATCATATATAGATTTGAGAATCACACAAATATTTGTTGAGAATCCCTAAAAAGGAAAAAAATGTTATTTTTTTTTCGTCTTGTAAGATAATGATTTTTATACCAAAAAAAATCAGCATTGATTTTGTATTTGGGAAGTTCTGATTTAAAATTTTGAACAAATTAATTGTAACCAAAGCATAAAAACAAACAAAAATTGACGAAGATTTTTTTTTTTTTTTTTTTTTTGAGCAAAAATTGATTAAGATTGAAAGCAAAAATAATAAAGGAAAAATGAGTGGAAGGTTCGTGAGCATTAATAAGCCGATAGCAGCAACTGAACAAATCCTGCCTTCTCAGTAAGACTATACAGCTCAATTGCATCTCAAAGAGTATCTACAAAGTTAATTAGGAATCCTAATTAGAGTGGAATTGGATTAGCATCTGTAATTTTTTTCTTCGAGAGAGAGGATTTAAATATGCAAGAAACAGTTTCTGACGATCTTATACACTTCGGAATAAATTTCGGATTTGCTTTGTTTTTCTTTGGCATTGCGTGCGTACTAGTGGCTTGTATCATCAAATGTTATAAGAACGATGACATTCATTATCATCACGATCATGAAACCAGCAATGACCACGTCATCATCACCATCGTGGAACGTCCCGGTATCGAACCCTCTGTTCTCCGATCAATCCCCGTCGTGGATTTCAGCTCTAGAGACTCCAAGGACGGCGTCGAGTGCGTCGTTTGCCTCTCGAATCTCGTCGACGGAGACAAAGCCAGGCTTTTGCCGAGCTGTGACCACTGGTTTCACGCCGGTTGCATCGACTCGTGGCTTCGATCTCACACTAATTGTCCTATCTGTAGAAAGAGAGTTGGTTCGGTGCAGCGAGGACCGAGACCGGAGCTTCAGGGCGACGAGAGTCTGACTCGGAATCACGACCGGAGTTCCGAACATCCTCGGTTTCCGACTGTGACTGATACTCCTCCGGTTACAGACGCGGCGGTTGTTGATGATTGCAGCGAGTCTGATGTAGTTCGATCGGATTTGACGGCGGTTGCGGCAGAGATTCCGGCGAAACGAATTGAGAGCTAAATCTGGTAGATTCGTGGAATCAGATTTTAGCAATATCAGGCCCATTTAGCCGATATTGGGCCATTAGTTGTGAAGATAGGGCCCATGTATAAAGCTACCGTAACATTTAACCAAAAAGAAAGGAGATAGTAATTTTTTTATTTTTTTTTAAATTGTTTTTGTTTATTTCTTTCAAATTTAGCTTTGTAATTTCCAAGTTCAAATGTTATTAATTTATTATTCAACTTACAAGAAAGATGCGAACAGACTGTGAATTTCGTGACTCGCGATTTCAAATGTTTAAAAAGAAAAATATTTACCAGCATTAATAGTAATTTTTTTTTTAAACAATTACGTTGCCAACGCTCCATACTGACATCGATTTAAATAAGATTTACAGTGTGTGCAGCAACACGTGCAAAGTGTGAGCTAAGACAAATCTACCAACCAGTGTGACCTTACAAAGAATAATTGACAAACTCGTATAATCATATGAAGATAATAGTTGTACATGTAACTAATTATTTTAAAATCGATGTATTTACAGCTCTTTTTTGTTTTTGAGAAAATGTATATACAACTTGGGCTATCGTTTATTAAAATATATCAGACGATGCATCGGATGCCTTGTATCTGGAAATTGTTCTTGGAAAGTATCATGCAAGTTGTTTTCTTTTCTTTTAACGTACCCTAAGCTACACTATTTATTGCTCTGCTTTGTTCTTTTTTTTCTCTAAATAAAATACGTTACCTGTCTTCTCAATTATCCACTTTCAAATAACTAAAGATTAATGATAAAGAGGAAATCATGATTTAAATGATTATAGATACAACTTTATTTAAATAGAGTGTCGGAAAGGTTGTCATAAAAATAAAGAAAACGAAAGAGAGAATATGGTGATTACAAATTTACAACTAAACCTGCTTTTCTAAACGAGGGAACAAACTATAAAGCCAATAGCATTTTCTATATGGCTATATCACCTAAACGATATGGCTGACTGGGGTTGCTTTTGTAATCTGATAATTGTTTTACTCACTAAATCAGGTTAAATTAGTCATTTATAACCGTATAGTATATCTTCTTCTAAATAATTTGTTTTTCCTCATTTGACAGACATTCATTTTTTATTCTCGTATATAACATTACTGCACATGATTGTTATAATATAGTCATTTGTTTATTCTCGTATATAATATTGCACATGATTGTCATAATCTACTAAACATAAACTGGAAATAATACGATGCATGAGATAGGTGTTGAAAAGTGATATATGGCATCTTTTGAAACTATTTTGAAAACTACAAACTGTGATTAGGCTACGTTCGTGTTACATTTAACCAAAGCTATTATGCGATTTGTGAAACTGCAAACATTATCGAGAAATCTCATATAATAGCTTTTGTTTTGCCAAGATTATCAATAATAGATTACCTTTCGAAATACAACCTATTTGTTCTTTATATTAGTAAACAGCCTGATCAAAAAGATAGCAATATCTATACCATGCTTTCGTACAATTTTATAATATACTCATACAGTAATTTTTCTGTTTCCAGCAGTTCTTGTTTATGCATTATTCAAAACAATAAATATATAACTTGCTTCTGTACCGACAAAAATAATATTTTAAATCTAATCTTAGTCGATTAGTGGAATATTTGTTTTCAATAAAAGATAAATAATGATGGACCCATGAGTCCATGACAGACTTGCAGGCTTGCAACAGCCTATTACAGACTTACATTATTTCATCCGTATATTCGGCGCCACTGGTAATTAAATGACTAAATCGCTAATTCGCTATGTAACAGTTTTGCTTTGCCTTAATTTCACATTTATAGAACTACAAATATGTTCCAATTTAGGTAAGACTAGCGTTCTAAGAACATCAATTACAGTTGATACTTGATACGCAAACTATCCTATACAGCAAACATATGATCCGTCCAAAATATAGTTTTTCCTTTGCAAACCAATAATATTGTATAGTTGCTGTTATCGCGAAAAGAACATTACAATCCAAAAGAAGAAAATGATTTTTAATAAAGAAAAACTTGAATATTATTGTCGGTTCAATTAGATTATTATTATTATTTTTGATAACTGTGGGTGATCTAAAGGCTTTCTAGGCCCAAGACTAATCCCACGAAGCCCACGGTAGTCCACATATTCTTACCATTTAAGGCAGTCCGGGTGGCCTGGGACTCGAACTCGTGATGGCGAGCACCTCAGCTGAGACTCCATTACCACCAGACCACGAGGACCCGGTTCAATTACATTAATTAGCAACTATATTTATTGTTCTTTGCCACAAAATTCCCCGAGGCCACATGTTCTAAGTAAAACAATTCTACGTCAGCAAGACACAGTCACACAGACGTATGCAAAACTATACAGTTTATTTAGAACTACACCTTCACTGTATATATGACTTTGGGACTATTACTCTCCCAGGCCACCGCAAACAAGTTTTTAGATTTGTTTGGACTTTGGGGGTATCGTGAATAAGTTTATAACATTTTCACAAGTGTAAGAAATACGCAGGCGTTGCAAGAAGCAAAATCGATCGAGCTTTAATTAACAATAGAAAGAGGACTTTTAGAGTCTTGGAAAATCTTTAAAACGTTTTTCAAATAAAAATAACTAAATGCCACCGATTGGTTAAAAAGACCTTAAGATATAGGCTAAACGTGGACGAGAGTGGTGAGTTCATCACTGGTAAGCGAAATAACGAATGTTAACGACTACTTTTCTGCATTCCAAGAAGATCAAAATCAAATACAAAAATACAAATTTGGGAACACGACAATAGTACCTCTGTCGAACTCGAATAATCGGAATAATATTCTGTTTATTATTTTGTAAACCTTATCTTCTTATAGCGTGGCGGCTTATAACATGTGGTTTTATTGTTTACGGAAATCCCACTCAAATAATAGAGTCAAGAAAAGTAAAAAGAGAGAGAGAAAAGCCATTTTAAAAATTAAAACTCTCGCAATGCTTTTTGAATTTCATCAATATAAACACACCACTCTTCACGAGCACATTCACCACTCACTCACCAGTTTCAAACAATGGCTCCATCAATCAAAGAAGTCTTCTCCAAAGATTATTTCAAGAAAAACAAGAAACCTGTTTTACTATTCGCCGCCGCATCATTGCTCTTCGTAGCCGCTGTTGCCGGAATCGCCGCCGGAGCTTCAAAAGCCAAGGAAAACGGAAAACGAACTCTATCCCCGACGTCTCACGCCGTGCTAAGATCCGCATGCACCTCCACGCGTTACCCTGAGCTCTGTTTCAGCGCCGTGGCCACCTTCGGCGGCGTCAAGTTAACGTCACAGAAAGACGTCATCGAGGCGTCACTTAACTTAACAACAACGGCGGTGGAACACAATTACTTCACCGTGAAGAAGCTGATCAAGAATAGGAAAGGACTGACACCTCGCGAGAAGACGGCGCTTCATGATTGTTTGGAGACTATCGATGAAACGCTCGATGAGCTTCACGAGGCGGTGGAAGATCTCCATTTGTATCCTAACAAGAAATCTCTCCGTCAACATGCCGGTGATCTCAAAACCCTAATTAGCTCTGCCATCACCAACCAGGAGAGTTGTCTCGATGGCTTCTCTCACGACGAAGCCGACAAGAAAGTCCGTAAGGTCTTGTCGAAGGGTCTGGTACGTAAGAAACATCAATTTTTTGAATCAGTTAAAAATACAAATAAATATGTGAAATGTATACATAAGATAAAATTTGATTTAATCTTAAAACTGCAAAAATGTCGAGAAAATGCCTTTTGTTTTGGCTCACTAAAATTTATGGAATCCGAAATGGCTCGACATTATCGATAGGGTGACAAACTAGATACAGTATATCACATCACTTTTGAAAATGTTTAATATATTTGATTTATTTTTTTTTATTTCATTGTGCTATTGGTAGCTAGTGTTGGTGCATGTGCATGAATAGTTGCTATCGATTGTTTGTAACACGATCTTTTTTCTAAAAACATATCTTTAATAACGAAATGATCATGTGTAGATCCACGTAGAGCACATGTGCAGCAATACACTAGCAATGATCAAGAACATGACTGATACCGACATAGCAAATTTCGAGCTAAAAGCTAAATTCGCCTCAAACAACCGTAAGCTCAAGGAAGAGGAGGAGGAGACTAAGGTGTCCGCAGATATTGCCGGCGCCGGAGAACTAGACGCGGAGGGATGGCCGACTTGGCTATCCGCCGGAGACAGGAGGCTTCTTCAAGGGTCTACGGTTAAAGCCGATGCCACCGTGGCAGCTGACGGTAGTGGTACATTCAAGACGGTGGCGGCTGCGGTTGCGGCCGCACCGGAGAATAGTAATAAGAGGTATGTGATACGTATAAAAGCCGGAGTTTATAGAGAGAATGTGGATGTGACGAAGAAGAAAAAGAATATAATGTTTATGGGTGATGGTCGGACGAGAACTATTATCACCGCAAGTAGAAATGTCGTCGACGGTAGCACAACTTTTAACTCCGCCACCGTTGGTAAGTAATTCTAGTTATTATTTTTGAAAAAAAGATTAAAGTACTTTTGCACTATGTGGTCCTTTTATCGTGGAAAGATCATTACTCTATACATGCAAATTAAATATACACATGTAGAATCTTAGTCTTTTAGTGCCCACAACAATAGATGATGATTCGCACATATAGCCAAGTAGAAGAGAAAATTAAATGTGAATTTGAATTTACCAAGATTGAACAAGATCTGAGTCATGTGCGAGTCTCTGGTCCATTATTTTCTTGGCTTTATTCATATGCTTTTCCATGTCACATTATGTGGAGTGATTTTATTGCTCGGTCCACTCGTGAAGAGAGCCTATAGTTTTTATTATCTTTTTTTTTTCTTTTTCATTTCATTGTTGTTGACTTTTCTATCCAATTTTTTTTTTTTTTTTTTTTTTCTATTTTCTATCCAATTTTGGTCCCTTACTTATACCTTTTGATAATAATATATAAACTGGAGTAATTTATAAAAAGTAAAACAATAAAGTAGTTAAACTAAAGTGAGATTCGAGCAAATTAAGTTATTGTTTGGTCTTTTTAGCTAATGATGCCGTTAAATAACCGTTTTATTTGCTGTGGGGGCCAGTTGCTGTCGGCGAGAGATTCCTAGCGCGTGACATCACTTTCCAAAACACGGCGGGTCCGTCGAAGCACCAAGCGGTGGCGCTCCGTGTCGGTTCCGATTTCTCCGCATTCTACCAATGCGACATGTTAGCCTACCAAGACACTCTCTACGTCCACTCCAACCGTCAATTCTACGTCAAATGTCTCATCGCGGGAACCGTCGACTTCATCTTCGGAAACGCCGCCGCCGTTCTCCAAGACTGCGACATCCACGCTCGCCGGCCAAACTCCGGCCAGAAAAACATGGTCACGGCTCAGGGACGGACTGATCCGAATCAGAACACCGGGATCGTTATCCAGAAATGCCGGATCGGTGCCACGTCGGATTTACTGCCGGTGAAAGGTAGTTTCCCGACGTATCTTGGCCGGCCGTGGAAGGAATATTCGCAGACGGTGATAATGCAGTCGGATATATCCGACGTGATCCGACCCGAAGGATGGTCCGAGTGGACAGGGACTTTCGCGTTGAACACTTTGACTTATAGAGAGTATGCGAACAGAGGAGCAGGGGCTGGAACTGCAAATAGAGTAAAGTGGAAGGGCTTTAAGGTAATTACTGCTGCTGCTGAAGCTCAGCCATATACGGCTGGTCGGTTTATCGGTGGTGGAGGCTGGTTAGCTTCGACCGGTTTCCCTTTCTCGCTCGGTCTTTGAGATATCATTATTGTTGTTGTTGGTCGAATAACTATTGATTTTTATAAATAAATCAAATTGTGTTTCCTTGTGTTCTTTTGTTTTTTCTAGATTGTAGTATTGGAAACGGGATAATTAAGAGAATGGCGAGTTTTGTGCCTTTGTACTGTGGATTTGTGAGAGAAGAGATGTTGCCTATTAATGATTATGTTTTGATTTCATGTATGTCTCTTAGACTATTTTGCTATACATGCATATAAGTAAGATTACAATTTCTAGTAATGCTCCTTTGAACGTTTGGCAATATTATTGAGTTCTCAACTTCTCATGACAAAAGTTAGAAATATCAATAGTGTTACTTAAACCATATCAAGCAAAAGCAGATTAAATTTAACAGCCGGTTGGAGAATTGGGCTTACACAACTAAATTAGCCGATTACCAAAAAAAAAAAAAAACTAAATTAGCCCGTTCGGGTTCATGAACTGATATAACCGAAATCATCATAGCTACAAAAACTCACTGGTGTTGTAAATAATATATAGTGTGTCAGTAGAGTATTTTAAGTATATACTGTACTGTATTATAGTTTATATAAAGAATGTACAGCAGCCACAAATTTATGGTTACTTAATTAATAGGTTATGGTAGGATTGTTAGTTATATATGCTAATTTTCCAAGATTTTTTTTCTTAAAGTAATCAATTCATCAGTTATATCTTTCCAACTAGAGTTTGACCCGCGCCTTGCACGGGGTGATATTTTCTCAATTTGATTTTATTAAAAGATGTCTATTTACATACAATTTTAGGAACATAGAGTGTTAGACAATTAAAAAAATGTCAATTTACATTAGACGAAATTTTGAGTGATGCATATTTTTTTAGCCTGGTTTGATTTTTGTCATCGTTTACAGTGTGGTAATCTAACATTTGCTTTAACAACAGTTTCTCCCTTTCCGAACCCACATATATATAAATTTTAATACATTTAAAATAATTTTATATTTTGATAAATATAAAATGGCATATATATTTTATGTTTTTATCAATTTTAAATAACTAAAATAATTTAACTTATATGATAAGTTATTAGAATTTATTACGTTTAAAATTTTGATCAAACCAAAATATTAAAAAATACGATTTAATTATTTAATTCAATTAAAGAACAAATTAAATCGAATAAAAAAATTTTAAAGATTTCCAAACATGGTAAATTTTTCTTTCCTATTTGTGATTATGGTTGATCATTATTTGGATCCTATTTTATAATAGGTTTTTGAACTATTATCCCAAAATATAATCATGTGGGACATTTAACATTTTTAGAGATTTGCTTCATTTTTAAAAATTCAAACCATAGCATATGTAGAAAAAAACTAATTTTCTTTTTTAAATATTTTGATGTGATGATATAATTTATTCTTGAAAGTAAAGCTAAACAAAAATGATAGATGAATAAATTAATTTTTAAACAATTAATATAATACAATTGAATAAAACTTTCCATATTTTACTGATTGATTGACTAATAAATAAATTTTCGTCATTACCAAATAAGGAAACTGAAAGAAAATAATTTTCATTAATAATTATTTTTCTGACTAAATTAATCATATATATTTCATTCTCTAACCAAATATGAATGGCATAACATGTAATTAGTCTAGTAATGTTTGTCTTAATTAAAACTAACCTTGAAAGTGAACCTGGTGTTGACACATCAGCATGCATTTCTGTTAATAACACATGAGACAAAGGTTTATTTTATAGTGTTTTCTCTTTTAATATATTAGGGATAAGGAAAAATGAACTAATTCGAGGAAAAATGAACCAATTAACCTCTTTAAAACAAAATATTCTCTAAATATGATATTTCAGTATAAACCATACAACTTAGACAGCAAAACTTCTTTAGTATTCTGCAAGACACTGATCTCAAAATCAATTAATATCACTCAATCCTAATCCCAAACATTCAAAGTTTCCATAGTAAATAAACGGGAAACTTTATAACTCATATAACAAATATTAAAATATATCTTCAAATAAAATCATGATATAAAACCGAAGCATGCACTAAACTGTTTAATCAAACAAAGATAACCAATATCTTGTGAAGATTGACTAGGAACTATTAGTTACTAGCGTTGCAACTTGCGGCTAGTATTACAAACCCGATTTTACTATAAATTCATCTCACTAAACCTACCCAAAAAAAAAAAACAATTCATTTCACTAAACAGGGTCGAATATTTTTGCACTGATGATACAATATTCAATAAAAATACGGTGAAAGACTGAAAAGGAAACTTACTAATGAAGACAGATTTAAATCAATTAGTGATAGAACATCAATGACCACTTCCTTAAGAAGAATTTGAGTCACATTCCTCTTCAGTCTTCACATTAAAGTTATTCACATTCTTCTTCTAATATAAATTTATCTTCAACACACATAAAAAAAAAAAAACCAAGTCTCTATTCTTGTTCAACGAAACACACACTCACACACAAAGAAACAAACCTTTGATCGTGGCTTTTATGGATACTGTGAAGTCAATCATAGGATACTTCAAAGTAGATGAAGCGCAAGATTTAGCGTCGAAGAGAAAGGCATTGAAACGGTTGTTTTTTTTGGGTGTTTCCGTCGCCGTTCTGGTGGCGATTATTATCTGCGTTGCGGTTAGCATTGTTCGTAGCCGGAACAACGATTCCACACCGAGTTCATCTCCAAACTTGACTCCAGCAGCTTCACTCAGGGCAGTTTGCAGCATGACTCAGTTCCCTGACTCTTGTATTTCCAGCATCTCCAAGTTTCCATCGTCCAACACGACGGATCCGGAGGTTCTTTTCAGGCTTTCCCTGAAGGTGGTGGTCAACGAGCTCGCTTCCATTTCCTATTTGCCAAAGAAGCTCGCCGAAGAGACCGAGGACGAGCGACTCAAATCGGCTCTTAGTGTTTGTGAAGGTATGTTAGACGACGCGATGGATAGTCTCAACAAGACCGTCTCCGCCATCGAAGTCGGAGACGGGAACAGTATCATCGATCCGACGAAGATCGACGATCTCAAAACGTGGCTCACCGCCGCCTTAACATACCACGAGACGTGTTTCGACACGCTCGACGAGCCTAGCCCGGACAACAAGACGAAGACGGAGAACACGAGTTCCACAACTATCTCGCAGAGTCTTAAATCCGCCATGCAAAACTCCACCGAGTTCACAAGCAGCAGTCTAGCAATCGTCGCCAAGGTCATCTCTACCTTGAGCGACTTTGACCTCCCTATTCGCATTAGACGGCTACTCAGTTTGAACTCGTTCCCATCTTGGGCGACCCCAAGTGTGCGGTGGCTATTTCAGGCCGAGAAAGTAACCCCAATGTGACGGTGGCGGCGGATGGTTCCGGTGACGTGGAGACGATCACCGAGGCAGTGTTAAAGGTCCCGACGACGAGTAACGAAATGTTCGTAATATACGTGAAATCCGGTACGTACGTGGAGAATATATTCTTGGATAAAAGTGCATGGAATGTTATGATCTACGGCGACGGAAGGTCCAAGACCATTATTTCCGGCAACAAGAACTGCGCCTGCGCCGACGATGTGACGCTTCACACCTACCAAACGCCCACATTTTGTAAACTCTCTCTTACTCTTACTTCTCTGCTCAGTAAATTTTTTATATACGGTTTTCTGTTTCCCGCCAAAAAATAACTTATATTATTAACGTTTTTTTATTTGTTCCTTTACGCAGCAATTCTAGGCAAAGGCTTCAAAATGAAGAACATCGGAATCATAAATACTGCCGGACCAGAGAAGCACCAGGCGGTGGCGTTTCAGTCACAGTCCGATAACTCGGTCTACTACCAATGCTCGTTCGACGGCTACCAAGACACTCTCTACACTCACAGCAACCGCCAATTCTACCGTGACTGCGACGTCACCGGGACAGTGGACTTCATATTCGGAAACGCAGCCGCCGTCTTCCAAGACTGCACTATCCGGCCACGTCAGCCGCTTCCGAACCAGTTCAACGCAATCACCGCCCAGGGTAGATCAGGTCCGGATATGGCCTCCGGGATCGTGATCCAGCGATGCACGATCTCTGCCAACGGAAACGTAACCGCTGCCACGTATTTCGGCCGTCCGTGGAAGAAGTACTCCACCACGGTGTATATGGAGTCGGAGATCGGTTCAGTCGTGGAAGCCGCCGGGTGGATGCGGTGGGATGCGAGTGTTGACCCGCCTACGAGTATACTTTATGGAGAGTATAAGAATTGGGGTCCGGGTTCGGGTTTGACCCAGAGGGTTAAATGGGCCGGGTACAAGCCCGATATGTCTGATGCTGAGGTAGGGAAGTTTACGGTTGCCTCGTTTATCCTAGGAAGCAAGTGGTTACCGGCCACTGGAGTGCCGTATCAGCTAACTTAGTGCCGTATTTGTTTTGTTTTGTTTTTGGTTTTGGTTTCACTTCTGTCTTAATTATTTGACAAAAAATAATATTGTAAATGGGCTCAGCACCAAATCACCAAATAGACTTGGCCCAATATCACTCCAACCTTGGACGTCACACGAACCAGCTCGAAGTCACGTGCGAGTCCAGCTGTGACAGTCAACGACTACATAAGTCGTCATCTTCTCCGATCCAACAACCTGCAACAAGAAATTATGCAGAGGAGAGAGAGTTAGTACAGAGAGGAGAAAGAGAGCTTGAAGAGAGAGAATAAGAGAGAGAGAAGTAAGATAGGCTTATCGAGACTTCCTTATACCTTATTCTACTTGTAAGCTTGATCTCGAGGTTTCCGGTACATCGGAATCTCTGTAATCGCTGGAACTCTTTCCGTTGTGATAGTGGATTGCGTAGGAAGGCGCGAATCCTTCCCCCAGTGAGTAGGAAACGAACACTGGGTAAAAACTTGTGTGCAATTTACTTTCCTGCAATTTAACAAACATCGCATTAGAAAATCGATAATCTCAAAGATTAAAACTCAACAAGTGGTATCAGAGCTCCAAGGTTGGAGATGAGATTACTAATGGCGGATCGCGGAGGAGGTAAAGGATTTTCTCACCTGGATTTGATCGCGGAGTTGTTACCGAGAAGGGATCTGATTGATCTGATCTCTTAAGGTTGATTGTTAGATCAAAGTCTTCGCGGTCAAGGTTTTCTGGATTTCTTGTGTTCATCGGATTTTCTCGTCGGGTTTTTCTGGTATTCTGGTTTTCTCTTGGATTTTCTCGTCTTGGTTATCTGCAAAATCAGTGTAGTTGTGTTCTATTAGTGAATCTACTATGGAACCTACACTGGGAAGATTTGAGATGGAGAAATTTACCGGGAAAGAGGATTTCGGGATGTGGAAATACAAGCTGCTTGGTCAGCTGGAGATCCAAGGTCTTGCATCTGTCCTTGATGAAGATTTCTCGATCTACGTTAAATCTGAGAAACAGGAAGAAGGTGCATCACCAAGGAAAGATCAAAGAAAGCAGCACAGGATCTAAGAGTGAGAAACTTACTTGGTACTTGCCTCAGTGATGTGATTTTGAGGAAAGTGATGGATTCGCCAACATCTCGAGATATGTGGCTTGCCCTGGAAGAAGAGTATCAGGCAAAATCATTACCAAATCGGATTTATCTCAAGCAACAGTTTGCTAGCTTCCGCATGGATGAGAATAAGAATTTGGAAGATAACCTGGATACGTTTCTGAAGCTTATAGCCGATCTTGCCAGTTTGAAGATTACCATCAGTGATGAAGACCAGGCCATTCAACTCCTCACGAGTCTGCCTCCAGCGTATGAGCAGCTAGTTCATACTCTTAAGTATGGAACTGGGAAGAAACTCTCACGTTAGAGAGGTTAAAATCATCTGCATACGCAAAAGAAGCAGAGCTTAGACACAATGGAATGCTAAAAAAGGGAAAGTCTAGTGCTGAGGGACTCTATGTTGAAAACCGAGGAAGGTCTAAGAAGCGGAATGATGGTAAAGATAAGGGAAAGACTAAGGATCAGGGAGGAAGATCTAAGTCTAGAAACAAAAATGGCAAGAAAGGTACCTGTTTCATTTGTGGCAAGGAGGGTCATTGGAAGAGGGAATGCCCAATGCGTGGACAAAAGCAGAATGAAAGCTCCTCTGTTAACACAGTAGCAGAGATAAAGCAGCCTTTGGTCCTCACTGTGAGTTCTCAATACACCAAGGATGAGTGGGTTATGGACTCCGGATGTACCTTTCACATTACACCAAACAAGGAGTTAATGTTTGACTTGACAGAATTTGAGGGAGGAAAAGTGCATATGGCAAATAGCACATACAGTGAAGTAAAAGGAATTGGAAAATTCGAATTACTAACCCAGATGGGTCTGTGGTGATCCTCACGGATGTCAGGTACATGCCGGATATGAGTCGGAATCTCATCTCGTATGGTATGTTGGAGAAGTCAGGATGTACCTACACAGGAGAAAACTACAAAGTTACGTTCTTCAAAGATGGTCAGAAGGTGATTACTGGAAAATACAAAGATGGCCTCTATTTTCTCCAAGGAACAGTTTCTAAAGGGGATGTAAATGTGATAGATCCTAAGAACAATTGACTAGTCTATGGCATTCAAGGCTAGGTCACATGAGTTCTAAGAATATGGAAGTCCTATCTAAGGAAGGTTACATACCTCGAATGGAGATTGGAGAACTAGGCTTCTGTGAGAGCTGCGTCCTGGGGAAGTCTCACAAGCAGAGCTTCCCGAAAGCCAAACACACTACTAAAGGGATCCTTGAGTACGTTCACTCGGATCTATGGGGTTCACCGTCAACTCCAGAGAGTCTCGGTGGTGCAAAGTACTTCATCAGCTTCATCGATGATTACTCAAAGAAGCTTTGGGTTTATTTCCTGCGAACAAAGGATGAGGCATTCAGTAAGTTCAAAGAATGGAAAGAAGCTGTTGAAAGTCACACTGAGAAGAAGATAAAGTGTTTGAGAACAGATAATGGTTTGGAATTCTGCAATACCTTGTTTGACGACTTGTGCAGAAAGTCTGGAATTAAGCGCCATCGAACCTGTACCTACACCCCACAACAAAACGGAGTATCAGAAAGGATGAACAGAACCATTATGGATAAAGTGAGAAGTATGCTAGTTGAGACAGGATTGGGACAAGAGTTTTGGGCTGAAGCTACATCTACGGCTGTGTATCTGATAAACAGGACACCTAATTCTACAATTGAGTTTCAATTACCAGAGGAGAGGTGGTCTGGTCAAAAGCCTGATCTCACACACCTAAGAAGGTTCGGGTGTACAGCTTACGTTCACACTATTCAGGAAAAGATAAGTCCTAGAGCTGTAAAAGGCACTTTCCTAGGCTATCCGTTTGGTGTTAAGGGTTACAGGGTCTGGATTCCAGAAGATGGAAAGTGTACGACTAGCAGGAATGTTGTTTTTAAGGAGGATGAAGTTTACAAGGATCTAAACAGTTCTAGCAATCTACGTCTAGTGATCAGTCTACGGCTACACAGAAGAAGAAATCTGGGAGGAAAAATGTTACCTTTGATACTCAGCTGATACAAGGACCGACTCCATTGGGTGCACAAAATTTGTCTGATGTTGGTTCTGAGGGTTCATCTGATATCGACGGTCATGAAATTTCATCTTCTGATGCGGATTCTCTCAAGGTGGAGCTACTTCTTCAGGTGGAGCTACCACTCCTTCCTCAGTTGATCCCATTGATGTTACCTCGGATGATGAAGAAGAAGGATTAATATTCAATGAGGAAGAAGAAGAAAATGAGACTGAAACACTAAACAAGATGATGATTACCTGTTAGCAAGAGACCGTGAGAGACGTCAAAACGTCAGGCCACCTTCACGATATGAGGATGCCGACTTCGTGGGTTATGCTCTATCTGCAGCTGAAGACATTGAAACGGAGAATCCTAAGTCAATGGACAGAAGCAAGAAAAGTCCTAATTGGAAATTATGGCATAATGCAGCAGATGATGAGATGACTTCATTGATAAAGAATCATACCTGGGATTTGATTGAGAAACCGGAAGATGCCAGGGTTGTAGGCAGTAAATGGATCTTTACAGTGAAATCAGGGATTCCAGGGGTTGAGGCAAAAGGCACAAGGCAAGGTTGGTGGCTCAGGGGTTTTCTCAGACAGAGGGTGTTGACTACAATGAGATCTTCTCACCTGTGGTTAACATGTCTCTATTCGACTAATGCTATCAGCGGTTGTTAACAGAGACTATGAGCTAGAACAGATGGATGTCAAGACTGCATTTCTACACGGTGACTTAGAAGAAAGGATACTAATGAAGCAACCAGAAGGTTTCATTAAGAAAGGAGATGAAAACAAAGTATGCCTACTCAGGAAATCTCTATATGGTCTAAAACAGTCACCAAGGCAGTGGAATATCAAGTTTGACAGTTTTATGAAGGAAGCAAACTTATCAGAGCGAGTATGATCAGTGTGTCTACATGCGCAACATTCAGAATGAAAATGCAGTCTACTTACTTCTCTATGTGGATGATATGCTAATTGCATCAGGCAGTTTGTCAGAGATCAGATTGGTAAAAGACAGTTTGAGCTCTAAGTTCGAAATGAAAGACATGGGTAAGGCCTCACGCATACTGGGAATGGATATCATCAGAGACAGAGAGAAGGGAATTCTAAAGCTATCTCAGGAAAGCTACATCGAAAAAGTGTTAAAGACTTTGGAATGACAGATGCTACAACAACAACAACTCCACTTGCTACTCATTTCAAGCTAAAAAGTTTAACTAAAGCAGAGAAATTAGAGGAAGCAGTTCATATGGAGAATACACCCTATGCTAGTGCAGTGGGAAGTTTGATGTATGCAATGATTGGTTCAAGGCCAGACTTAGCATATGCAGTTGGGGTTATAAGCAGGTTCATGTCAAATCCAGGGAGAGGTCATTGGACAGCAGTGAAATGGGTTTTACGCTACCTAAGAGGTGCATCAAAAGCAAGTCTAACATTTACCTAAGAAGAAAGGTTTCAGTATTGAGGGGTTCTGCGATTCAGACTATGCAACGGATATTGACAGAAGAAGGTCAGTGACTGGGTATATCTTTCAAGTCTGGGGTAATACAGTTTCATGGCGTTCTAATCTACAGTCTGTGGTAGCCCTATCAACTACTGAAGCTGAGTACATGGCCCTATCTTCAGCAGTAAGAGAGGCTATATGGTTAAAGGGTTTATGCAGTGAGTTGGGTTTTGATGCAGGTGCAGTTAAAATTCATTGTGATTCACAGAGTGCACTAGCTCTAGCTAAGAACTCAGTTTATCACGAAAGGACTAAGCATATTGCTACAAAGTATCATTTCATCAGAGATATAGTAGCAGAAGGCACAGTCAAGTTGTACAAGATACACACAAGCAAGAATCCGGCGGATTTCCTAACTAAGGCCTTACCTGGGCCAAAGTTTGAGCTCTGCCTGAGCTTGCAAAAGTCGCCTGAGAAGCTTGAAGGCTCCAGGTAACTCCATTGTCAAAGGTACCTCGCAAACAAGAAAAGAAACTTGTGTTAGCACTGTTTCATTTTCTTAACCTAGACAATGTAAACTCAAGGTTTTTCGATGAGAGTTAGAGTTACCTGTGAAGCGTGAAGGAGCTGAGGGATTCTTCAGTTCCAGGTGGAGTATCTGTGAAGAGAAGATCAGAGGAAAGTCAGTTTTGGTTCATCAGTCTGGGTTTTCTGGGTTTTCGTCAGATCAGAGGAAAGTGTTTGCGAGAAAGGGTTTCTGGGTTTCTAGTTGTGGTTACCTAGGTTTTCTGAGCAGAGGAGGTCTGGATCCGTCTTGTTCTTCTGGATCTGCAAAGAAAATGAAAAGACGAAGGATGTTTAAGTTTGTTCTTCGCAAAAGAAAAAGAAAAGGAGAGTCAAACGGGCATGAGGAATCGATCGGTGCTTAGTGCGGAGATCGATAGGCCTCGAGAAGATACTGTGATGATTCCAGTGCCGGAGTGCATGGTTTACCGGCGGATGCGAGCTGATTCAAAGTCGCCGCATCAGTTCACTATCGCGGAGAGAGAGAAGCGGAGAAGTCGAGAGTGTTAGGTCAAGTGACGGAGTTCTCGGAGTTGGTCTGAACAGGTGGAGATTGTAAATGGGCTCAGCACCAAATCACCAAATGGGCTTGGCCCAATATCACTCCAACCTTAGACGTCACACGAACCAGCTCGAAGTCACGTGCGAGTCCAGCTGTGACAGTCAACGACTACATAAGTCGTCATCTTCTCCGATCCAACAACCTGCAACAAGAAATTACGCAGAGGAGAGGAGAGTGAGTACAGAGAGGAGAAAGAGAGCTTGAAGAGAGAGAGAAGTAAGATAGGCTTATCGAGACTTCCTTATACCTTATTCTACTTGTAAGCTTGATCTCGAGGTTTCCGGTACATCGGAATCTCTGTAATCGCCGGAACTCTTTCCGTTGTGATAGTGGATTGCGTAGGAAGGCGCGAATCCTTCCCCCAGTGAGTAGGAAACGAACACTGGGTAAAAATCTCTTGTGCAATTTACTTTCCTGCAATTTAATCAAATGATCGCATTAGAACAATCGATAATCTCAGATTAAAACTCAACAAATATATTGTTTTGTTACTTTTGTAACTTCCATAAATACATTATTTATAAATTTCCGCAATCCCTATCAGCCCTCTCTTACTTGACACATGAGAGTATGAGAGAGAACATTGACTCGCGTCAGTGAATATTACCATAAGCTATTCCAGTTCTTGTTACATGAACATGTTTTATTAAGGACGAGTGTTAATTGGTTGATTTAAATTACAGTAACAAAAAGATACTCTGAAAAAAATGTTTTGTGTAATATTAACTTTCTCATTGTATATAGTATGTACTGTACATCAAATGATTATGATGCTAAACCCGATTGAATGAGATTCATGTTATAGTTGAATCAGGCCCTATTATCAAATCGATCTATAGCCAACCAATTTTTTTTAGACATTAGAGAAACATATTTGTATGCCAGCGATTTGCTTGGCATCAAAATAATTCATTGATGCTGTAGAGATATAGTTTTCTGTTAAAGGGATGCTGTAAATTTATTATCTTTTAATTCCGGCAGATGTTTTGATTATAAAGGAAAAGAAAATACTATAAAAGGGTGGTTTCTTTTATTTATTTTAGATTTTACTTTGCTATTCCCTCGTTTCTTTTTATATGTTTGTTCTAGAGAATTTCACTCAGATTAAGAAATTAACTAGTTTTATTATTGTATCCTTATTAATTAGTATATTATTTTGTTTAATATGACTAATTAATAACATATATACTTTCCATTAGATTAGGTCCCGTGTACACACGGGTTTATTAAACAAAATTTTGTCACCTTTTGAATTCATGATATGAACTGAAAAACTTACATGTGTCTAAATCTAATCGACTGATTAATTTATGAAACTTTGATTATTCCATTTAGGCCTGAGCATAATGGGTACTCGGTTCGGTTCCCGGTCGGTTCTTTCGGTTCCGGGTCTTACGGATATAAAAGTTTTTTATCCATATAGGAACCGTGTCATAGTCGGTTCGGGTCCGGATCGGTTCCTCTCGGGTCCGGGTCGGTTCTGGGTACCCAAACTTTAGCAATAAAAGATAAAATAAATAAAAAAAATATAATTTAAATAAAATTCAGTTAAATTTTATAAAACATATTAAATATTACAAAATATAATCAAATATATTCTGATATATTATATTTTGGTTATTTTGTGCTAAATATAACCAATATATTTGCTTAATAATTGTAATTTTAAATATTTTAGTTATTTTAAGACTAAACATAACTAAATATTTTTAGAAATATAATTATATTTTGGATATTCCGGGTACCCACTCGGTTCTCGGGTAGGTACCCGTTCTGGTCCGGTTCTTTCGGGTATAGGAGTTTAGGATCCGTTCGGATATTTATGTCTATTCCGGTTCGGTTCGGATCCATTTTTTTTGGGTTGGTTCCGGATCGGGTCCTTCGGGTCGGTTTTTATGCCCAGGCCTAATTCCATTGATGAAATCTTTATTTTTTGTTTTACTTAAGAAAAATTGGAAACTAAACTATTTAATACTCCATTATAATTTTTTAAAAATATTTTAGTTCCTTGATAATTATTTTGTCGGTTCTCTCTATTTATATTGTTTCTTTTTCAATTTTGTTTTTGCCTCTAACCATTATAAATTTTCATTTATTAGTTAGTTGTTTTACAATTATTTTATTAGTTTATTTATTTATATGTTACTCCATTTTTTCAATTTTATTTTATCGACACATGTCTGATCAAATATTAGACATGATTTTTGATTTCTTAATGAAAAAGAAACTATTTTAAATATACCTTGTTATATATATATTTTTTTCGTAATAGGATTATATTTTTTTTCTTTACTTTTCCTAATGTATGTATGTAAATTTTTATTTTTAAATTGGTTGTTTCCTTTTTCTGATTTTTCTTAATGTACTAATATGATTTTATTTATTACATTATTTTGAATTTAATATGTGTTTAGATAATATAAATTTGATGAATGGGAAACCTTTTTCTTATAAGGATATGACAAATATGATTTTTTTCTTTTTATTCTAATGGATATATATTTTTTTTAATTTTCCTTTTTCTAACATTTTTTTTTAATTTTTATTTTCCCTTTTTTTCCCAAGACATGTGTCACGATCTTAACGGATTTAACATTAAAAGTTACACATGTTGCAATCCTATATTTTATAAAAATTCTATGTGTCGCAACCACATTGCGCACATCCAACTTTAAATAATAAGATGATGTTTTACCTTTTTTTCCTTATTCCATAATATTTTTCCATAATATATAATGTTTTAGGATTCTTGAGATAATTATATACTTAAATTACTATTGGTTAACGTTTATTAAAAAGTGGTTTGTGTAATAAAACAATGCATTAATAGTTAAATCATTAATGTTTCTTAATTTATGTGCAAATTCTAAAACATATATATTTAGGAACAGAGGAAGTATCGTATATGAATATAGATAAATCATATGAAAGACTGAACAAACAATGATTACCCCCTTTTCCCAGTCCAATTCCAGCAATCCGTCTTTAAAAGTCCGGCGAAGAGCCTCGTACAAACTACCTTTCTCCATGTATTCGAACACCAGAAATCTTAAACCTCTTCTGAGAATAAACGCATACAGATTCACCATGTTTCTATGTTTGATCCTCCCAAGAATCTCTGTAGAACTCAGAGACTAAACCAAGTTTTAGACAAAAGTAAACTGAATACTTCGATGATTTATTGATAAGAGTTGCAGGCTTTAAATAACCAGAGTACAACGAACTGAAACGAAACTTGCGGAAGTGGCTAAGCTAGCTAAATAATAGGAAACTAACTACTTGACTCCTACAGACCAGGAGTTTATTCGGAACTGAAACTAACAACTTAAAGACCAATTCAAACTCAACAATGCCTCTCCTAAACTGAAAGCGATAGCATTCAGTTTAATCTTTCACAAACTCCAAGCTTCTCCCTTAGTCGCACAAAGACCTCCAACTTTAACGGCTTAGTCAAGATGTCTGCAATCTGCTCATTTGTTCCACAGTGAACAAGTTTCACAACTCCATCTTTAGTAAGATCCCTTAAGAAATGAAACCTTACATCGATATGCTTGCTCCGGCCATGAAGGACTGGGTTTTTGGACAGCTTAATAGCTGAACTGTTGTCACACATGATTGTTGTACTTCCTGACTGTTCCAGTCCAAACTCCTCCAAAATCCTCCTCATCCAAACGCATTGACAAGCACAGTAAGCTGCTGCAACAAACTCAGCTTCTGTTGTGGACAGAGTTACCACTGGTTGCTTCTTCGACGCCCATGCCACAGCTCCTCCACTCAGTAAGAAAGCATATCCACTCGTGCTCCTTCTATCATCAATGTCTCCAGCATAGTCACTGTCTGTGTAGACAGTAAGCTCTTCAACAGCTCCTCTCTTGTAAAACACACCAAATCCCAAAGTACCTTTCAGATAGCGTAGTACTCTCTTTGCCGCCTGCATATGTTGATCAGAAGGATTCGCCATGTATCTGCTCAATAAACACACCACATACATCAAATCTGGCCTTGTTGACGTGATGTACATTAGACTTCCAATCAATTTTTTGTACAACGTTGGATCCACCTTGCCTCCATCTCCTTCACGTGAGAATCTTGTCCCTGGCACAATTGGATTTTTCACCTCATTTGCGTTCTGCAAATTGAACATTTCCAAGAGTTCACCGGCATACTTCTTCTGATGAATGAAAATCCCATCTGCATCTTGTATCACTTCCACTCCCAAAAAATACTTCATCTTCCCCAAATCAGTCATATCAAACTCTTCTTTCATGGATGATTTGAAATTCTCAAGCATACTCATATCATTTCCCGTAAAAATCAAATCATCCACGTAAAGACTAACAATGAGAATCTTGTTACCTTCTCTGGTCTTCACGAACAGCGTGTGCTCATATTCGCACCTTTGAAATCCTTCCTTGGTGAAATATGCTTCAATCCTGCTATACCAAGCACGGGGTGCCTGCTTCAGTCCGTACAGAGCCTTTTTGAGCTTGTAGACTTTGTTCTCCTCTCCCCTTTTAATGTAACCTTGTGGCTGCTCCTCATAGACATCCTCCGATAACTCGCCATGTAAAAATGCACTTTTTACATCTAATTGATAAATGCACCAGCCTTCTTGAGCCGCCAGAGCTATGAGCATACGTATTGTGTCCCACCTTGCCACAGGAGCAAACACCTCATTGTAGTCTATGCCTTGTTGTTGTGCATACCCCTTTGCAACAAGTCTGGCCTTGTACTTGTCTACCTCTCCTTTCTCGTTGAGTTTTGTTTTATAGACCCACTTTACTCCGATCTTCTTTGCTCCGTTTGGTAACACCGTAAGCTACCATGTGCAATTTCTTTCAATTGATTCCAACTCTGCCTCCATCGCTTTTACCCACTTCTCATCTCCTTTAGCTTCATCAAACGTTACCGGATCTTCCATTGAAGCAAACATGAGGTAGTAACTCATATCTTCTTCTTCTTCTTCAGATAGCTCTTCACCAGTGGTGTAGCTTTGTAGATACGCAGGTTGTCTTCGAATTCGCTGCACTTGGAAAGACTGAGGATCTGGTGTAACAGCTTGTGGCGATGGCAAATCTGGCGAGGGAGGATCTCCATTTTCAGGATTCGCCTCCTCTGTATCTTGTGACAAGGAAGCATCCTCACTCTGCTCCATCTCTGCATCACAATCTTCCCAAATTAGCTGCTCTTCGTTTGTTTCTCCAGATTTCTTTTCCCAATCCCATCCTTTCTCTTCTTTGAACACGACGTCTCGACTTGTCACAACTTTCTGTGAAACTGGATTGTATAATCTATAGCCCTTTGATTCGCTTCTTACTCCAATAAGCACACATGTGGTGCTTTTGTCGTCCAACTTCTTTCTTCTTTGATCTGGAACATGAACGTGGGCCAGACAACCAAATACCCTGAAGTAATCCACCGTCGGTTTAACACCACTCCACATCTCTTCAGGTGTCTTTTCTTTCAAAACAGAGGTTGAACTTCGATTAAGTACGTGAACCGCCCATTTTGCTGCTTCAGGCCAGAACCGTCTTGGGACCTCTTTGTCGTTAAGAATGCACCTCACCATGTTCATGATAGTGCGATTCTTTCGTTCCGCCACTCCGTTCTGCTGTGGCGTGAATGCTGTGGTGAGTTGTCTGCTTATCCCCATCTCGTCGCAGAAACTCTTGAACTCATTGGACATGTATTCTCCCCCTCTGTCCGTTCTGAGACAAACCAATGTCTCTCCGGTTTCTCGCTCCACCAGGCTCTTGAATCTTGTAAACAACACAAATGTCTCAGATTTGTTTGATAAGAAATAAATCCAGACCTTTCTGCTGTAGTCATCGATAAAAGTAAGAATGTACTTCTTATCGCTAATTGAGGCTGGAGAGATTGGACCGCAAAGATCTGAGTGAATTAACTGCAACCGTCGAGATGAGCGCCACATACTCTTCTTTGGAATGCTCTCCCGATGTTGTTTTCCTACCAAACAGCTCACACACTTCCCAGCTACCTCCGTTGTCTTTAGATGTGGTATCCCTTTCACCATATTCTGATATTTCAGAGTTCTCAACCCGTTGTAGTTGAGATGTCCATACCTACGATGCCAGAGCTGAAACTCATCTGTTGTGGCAACCTGCAAGCACTTCGACGCAGCATTCTTTGGGTTTTTGGTTGCCACGATCTTGAACAGCCTGTTTGTTGTCATCTTCGACTCCATGATCAGACCCAGGTTGGGGTGATACAGCTTGCAAGCCCTTTGTTTCATCAACACTTCACATCCTTTCTCGACAAGCTGCCCGATACTGAATAGATTGGTTCTCAAATCTGATACATAATACACATCAGTGATCGTGTGTGCTCTTCCGTCTATCTGCACGCTCACGTTCCCTTTTCCCATCACCTTCAGTTGATAGTTGTTCCCTAACTTCACTGAGTGACGGAATTCTTCATCGAGTGTGGAAAACCATGACTTGTTTCCACACATGTGATTGCTGCAGCCAGAATCTAAGAACCATACTTCCTCGCCTTTCTCATTTCCTGTGAGAACCATCAACAACTTCTCATGATCATCGTCGGTAAAAGCCATCAGCAGCATCTCATCTTCTTCACCATCTACTTCTGCGTAATTGGCTTTTCCATCCCAGCTTGGACATTCATATTGAAAATGTCCAAGTTTATGACATTTGAAGCACTCAATCGTGGATTTGTTGATGAATCTTCCTCCTCTGCCTCGTCCTCTTCCTTGGCCCATTCTTCCTCTGCCTCTGCCTCCTCTTTCTTCATGAGAGATTTTCAGAACTTGATCTTCTCCGCCATTGCTCGGTTTTCTGAATTTCTGCTCATGAACTAACAGTGAGCTCTGCAGCTCATCAACAGAGAGACTATCGATGTCTTTAGATTCTTCAATCGTGCCAATGTGCGCAGGATCTTCTCCACAATTTTGACATCTTGCATGTCGTCTCCACAATTCTTCATATCGTTGGCCACCACCATCACTCTAGCAAAGTAGTCTGTTACAGACTCTCCATTCTTCATCTCCAAAAGCTCGAAACTTCTTCTCAAAGTTTGTAACTGAGCACGTTTCACCCTTGAGTTTCCTTGATACTTGATTTTCATGGAATCCCACAACTACTTAGACGTCTCTTTCAGTGTAATCGTTTTAAGAATGGTTTTATCGATTGCACTGAAAAGATAGTTCTTAGCTTTGAGATCCTTCAATCTCGCTTCACCGAGGGTTTTCTTCTGCGCTTCGGACAGCGTCTCTTCACTTGCTGCCTCGACAAACCCATCTCTCACCACACCCCAATACTCTTTCGATCTCAGTAAATTCTCCATGAGAAGACTCCAATGATCGTAGTCTCCATCAAACTTGGGAATACTCGCCTGTGCAAAGTTGCTTGACTCTGCCATCTCACTCACCCGTGTTTACACTCACCAACTCACTTGTGTTTCACTCACCAGCTCACTAGTGTTTCACTCACCCACTCTCGTGTTTCTCTCACTCTAGTTTAGAAGCTCTGATACCAAATTTGTAGAACTCAGAGACTAAACCAAGTCTTAGACAAAAGTAAACTGAATACTTCGATGATTTATTGATAAGAGTTGCAGGCTTTAAATAACCAGAGTACAACGAACTGAAACGAAACTTGCGGAAGTGGCTAAGCTAGCTAAATAATAGGAAACTAACTACTTGACTTCTACAGATCAGGAGTTTATTCGGAACTGAAACTAACAACTTAAAGACCAATTCAAACTCAACAATCTCAACCTCCGGAATAGAGGTTTCTGTTGTTATCTTCTAATCCTCCTCTTCTCAACCAATTAACCGCCACTGTCCTGCCGCCTCTATTCAAATGGAGTCGGTACATTTTTCCCGCGCTTCCAACTCCGATCACTTGCTCTTCATCTAATCTAGACAATTGGAAATTCTGAGGTGATTTTTACAATAGGGTACACATATTTATATGGGAGGAATAGAATGCTGACATAAGCACTTGCATCATCTTTATATTATTATGCACTTATATCACTTTTACATTATTGATAATTAAACATACTTATTTTACATAATGGAGTATTATTATGCGTATATTTCATCATGATTTTATGAAGGAAAAAAACATGATTGTAAAAACTTCCTAAAAATTAGGAAAACAGTTTACCCAAAATCATGATTGAAAAAAATAATAGTTTTTCAGAAAACAAAAACCAAAAAGGATAATTAAATCTCCAAACAACCAAGGCCTAAGAACTCATGAGAAAAACATATCAAAAAGTATTAATCTAAGGTAACTATGAGAAATGTAGCTGTCACAACATTTTTGGGCTTAAAATAAGCAATTAAAAAAAAACAAATAAGCAAAATACAAGCAAAATATAACTTTAACATAAGTAAAACTAAAGAAAAATATTAAATAATTAAAAGATAACTGTTAATTATCAGCTATATAAAAAATGTAACTATAAAAAATATGATATTTACATAAACTCTAACGTTGTTTTATATGTGACTTGAGCCTTATATGATTCATATTAATTTGTGTGGATGTTTAAAATGATTTTAGTAAATATATCACACAATACGTTTCGTTAAACACCATTGTAGTTCACATATATCAACAAAATATTTTAAATTATAATTTACTACATATATGACTCAAGTCAATACCGTTACCGCTCAAGGCAACAAGTAAGAACTTGAAAAAAGGTTGTCGATCCGAAGCAGCACAATTTTGCCATACGAAGAGGAAAATTTCAAGACATATTTGGGACGGTCATGGAAGCCTTTCTCGAGAGCTGGATGGCTGCCGTGGAACAACGAACCTCTGACATTGACCTATGGAGAATATAAAAACTATGGACCGGGTTAAGTGGATCGAATACAAACCAATTATGACTGACCAAGAGGCTCAGAAGTACGGTTAATGCTTTTTGATCAACCAAAGTGGTTGGTTAAACCAAACTTGTATTCCATACGATGTTTCCATTTCTCATTTGTAATTTGGAGTTTTCTACTTTCTAGTATCGAGGCCTTGTCCCGAAAGCGCACTTGGGCCTTTTAATGAGCTTACATATTTAGTAAAACGGGCCTTCAATAACAGTAATAAATATACGAATGTTGCTTGCTCTCGCTCCAAGCTCAATTACTTATTTTCACTCGTACACGTATGTCTCTACGACATGGATCGTGAATTCGTGATCATTCATCACAATAACATAATTAATAGGTGATTAAAGAAGATAACGTTTATAATTGCTGTGTTGAAATTTAATAATCATACTTGCTTATATAAAACTTGGAGATCGTACGATATTGATAAGTTAGGCCACCACTAAGCGATGATATAAGTGGACAACGATGTAGAAAAATGATTAAAACAACTTTGGTGACGTATATAACCTCCCAACCTCCTGAAACTCAGACCACAAGTGTTTAACTGTAGGTTTTTAAAATACATTTTATATACTAGGTACCGAATAATCAATTAGCATTTAATATTATCTATCAATACTCTATTATTAGTTTGACAAAAAGAAAAAAAAAATACTGTGGAAGTTTTTGTTATTATTATTTTATTTTATTTTGGTTAAAGTTTTTGGAAACTTGTTTCAACGTTTTGTGACCTACTGATCTACGATTCCACCATATTTTATATACCAATTACCAAAGTTTTTGATGACTCAGAAACTAGTAAACATTTGCTGTTTTCTTAAAATAAATATTCCGTATAAATTCTGTAATTTTAATTTGATAGAGGAATATTCGTCATTTCGTTGTCACGTAATATAAATTGGTATTAGTTTATTAATTCATTAAACCAGCGAATTAGAACACACCTTTACAATGAAAAATAGACGACACGACCTTTTCCGAGTAACTGGACGGTGTCGTCTCTCAACAATTAATCTCTGTAAATAATCATATCACTGACTATAATAAACCAATTATTGACGTTGTGACATAAAACAAAAAATTATGTCACTATAACTAGATAGACGGACACGTGCCACAGCTTGGTTTAATTAGGCAACAAATTGGTGGAAGATAAATTAAGTAATTAACCACTAACGTCTCGTGATTTCAAAAACCTTCTTTAACCTTTTTTCGAATGATTTTTGGCTCATAACATGTTTCATTTATTATTAAACAAGATACACTATTTACTTGTCATCTAGTAATACTAATTTATGTTGTATATTTAGTTTCAGTACGCGAGTAAAAGACATCCAAACAAATACTATAAATTTTCTGGAGGAAAAATATATAATGAGTAAGTGGTGGTCATCTCATAATGAAAATTGTGAAAGCCTTTTATGTAACAACAAGGGAATATTATTTTCTTTTAAACAAAACCAATCAATCAATACTCATTACAGTGCATAAGTAGACATTTATGTATACATATGCGCATAAATTCAACGATTCCAGTGAAAAAATTGACTGGCCAACCTTTAATTTGATAAAAAGTAACAAGTAAAATGAGCCATTAGAAGAAAAAAGAGAATTAAGTTTATTTATAATGCGAGAGTAATGACCCCACAACAAAGACATTATATGAACTTGTTAATAAGATGACCACTATAATCGGCTATTAGAGTTTGACCCGCGCCTTGCACGGGGTGATATTTTCTCAATTTGATTTTATTAAAAGATGTCTATTTACATACAATTTTAGGAACATAGAGTGTTAGACAATTAAAAAAATGTCAATTTACATTAGACGAAATTTTGAGTGATGCATATTTTTTTAGCCTGGTTTGATTTTTGTCATCGTTTACAGTGTGGTAATCTAACATTTGCTTTAACAACAGTTTCTCCCTTTCCGAACCCACATATATATAAATTTTAATACATTTAAAATAATTTTATATTTTGATAAATATAAAATGGCATATATATTTTATGTTTTTATCAATTTTAAATAACTAAAATAATTTAACTTATATGATAAGTTATTAGAATTTATTACGTTTAAAATTTTGATCAAACCAAAATATTAAAAATACGATTTAATTATTTAATTCAATTAAAGAATCAAATTAAATCGAATAAAAGAAATTTTAAAGATTTCCAAACATGGTAAATTTTTTTTCCTATTTGTGATTATGGTTGATCATTATTTGGATCCTATTTTATAATAGGTTTTTGAACTATTATCCCAAAATATAATCATGTGGGACATTTAACATTTTTAGAGATTTGCTTCATTTTTAAAAATTCAAACCATAGCATATGTAGAAAAAAACTAATTTTCTTTTTTAAATATTTTGATGTGATGATATAATTTATTCTTGAAAGTAAAGCTAAACAAAAATGATAGATGAATAAATTAATTTTTAAACAATTAATATAATACAATTGAATAAAACTTTCCATATTTTACTGATTGATTGACTAATAAATAAATTTTCGTCATTACCAAATAAGGAAACTGAAAGAAAATAATTTTCATTAATAATTATTTTTCTGACTAAATTAATCATATATATTTCATTCTCTAACCAAATATGAATGGCATAACATGTAATTAGTCTAGTAATGTTTGTCTTAATTAAAACTAACCTTGAAAGTGAACCTGGTGTTGACACATCAGCATGGCATTTCTGTTAATAACACATGAGACAAAGGTTTATTTTATAGTGTTTTCTCTTTTAATATATTAGGGATTATATTATTTGCATCTTGTCTCTATTTAAACTAATCAATCATCGGAATTTATAAGTTTTGCTTTTGCCATTTTTCTATTTTTTTAAGTTCTTGTGACCTATAAACCAAACATTTTGGTCCAAAAAGAAGAGATCCAAGTTTCTTCTGAAAGAAAACACAGAGGCAATGGCATATTCAACTAAACTTTGTCTTCCTCTTGAAACACCATGTTTTATTCGAAAAACAGTAAGATCAAAGACTTTGATGCTTCAACAGAGTAATATTGAAGTTAAAGCCAAGAAAGTCACAGTTTCACAGCCACAGCCGATAAGATACTCCACCAAGAACACTGTACGATCCTTTCTTCTTTCTTTCCAAGAACTGTGCCTTGATTTTCTTGAGAATCTAGACACAACCCGTTTGGCAAATTATCATTTTTGAAATTGGTTTTTGTTATTTTCTTGGAAACAGGTATTTGAAGATCCGATACAAGGGATCATATGTTACACCGATGATAATGGAGAGGTTATATGTGAAGGATACGATGAAGGTCCTCGTTGTCCCCCAGAGAGTCCAATGGTAGCTTCTTACTCAAGGTATGATAACTTCCTAATCTTAAATTAATATATAATCAGATTGATCTTGCTTCAATGTTTTTAATTATTGAAAATAAAAAACAGAGAGGTTGAGATTCTTGATCTTCTACAAAGAAGTTATCTGGAGTTGAGAGATGCAGAGAAGGATGATGGTCAACGACAGAAAATTGCTTCGCAACAAGAGTTAATGATGATCAAATGGAGCAGCTTTGACTTCCTCTAAATCTCTTTCCTCTTTTTTTTTTTTTTGGAAAAAATCAAAATCTGATCTCTCTTCAAAAAGGCCTCTTGAATAAGAATGTACAGAACGAAAAAAAGGCTGTGAAAGAAGCAGCGATTTGCTTCTTTCCTGTTTCACTTTTGTAAGAACACAAATATGATTATATCCGGATTCTGTAATATGAAGACTGAAGCAACAAAAGAAAACTGTGCGAGCATCAAAACATATAAGTAAAGAATTTCATATACATAAGATTTTTGTACAGACAGGATAAAACTGAAATAATCTCACATATTTCTGAGGAAATTTCAGACAATCTCCCAAAACTCTAATCGAACGACCCATAATCTAAAAGAAGAAAACAAAATCGATATACGAGAGAAACCCAATCTTCAGAAGAAAAAAGAATCATATAGTCATAGCCAAAGAATAGTGTTCCCAAATGCTAAAGAAAGAAACAATTTCTATACAAGACAAAAAGCTTGCATTATGATTATTAGGATTCATAAATCACTCTGCTTGAGTACCGGCTTGAGAGGTTTCTTCTGGCTGAGAGTTATTAGTAACGGCACTAGGCGGAGACCATTGATCTGGAACCATGAGGAAGTAAGTCGTCATGGCCTTTCTGAATCTTCTCTTGTATTGCTTTGGAGAGATTACTGTTGGTGCTTCATTCTTTGGTCCTCCCAAGATCCCTGTAAATTTCACCCAAGACTCTAGATGTTTGTCCCATGTATACTGCCTCAAGAAGTCGATAATCCCGAGAACTAGCTCGTTCTTTTCTTCATCCACCCCTACTAGCAACGAGTAATCCATCACATCACCCAACTGCAAACACAAACAAGATACATATGATAAGTTTCATAAAACTTGTTCAAAAGAGTAGTGTGAATGAGTAGAAGAGTAAAAAACTCACAGCAAGAAAAGCGGTATCGTTCCAGACGGCTCTTTCCAACAATCGTTTTGCTTTGTTACCGACGAAAATAGGACAAGTTGGCATTGCTTCGATCAAGTTTTGATCCAACAAGACTTTGTTGCTCCCACTAGAGTCAGGGTTGTATCGCGCCCGGGAAGATCCTTTGAGGTCATAGAGCCGTTTCACAGTTCTTCCAAACAGAAGATTCTCCATAATCAGAACATCCATCTTTGTCTCTTTCCCGCTCTTAAGTTGCTTTGTTGCCACCTATTAATTCAAAAATACAAACACTGATCAAGAATGAATCAAACCTGACCAGGAAACTCTCCACTTGACAATTAAACAAATACCTGATAGATTCCCAAGATCTTTGCAAGGCAAGTAGGGCTTTTCGTGCTAATAGACTCCGATAAGTATTTAAAGTAAGCAGGTGCAAATTTGATGAATGATTCCAATTCCGTCTTGGTGACTTGTTTGATGATAAAACGGTCGTCCAGGGTTTTAGCAAAGAAGACATTGCTCTTTCCACCTTGAGCTCCCCATTTTTTACACCGGCTAAGAGACCTTATAAACTCAAGTTCCGAAGGGATGCATATACTACGCAATGCCTCAAACCGTTTTGCAAAGTAACAAGTAACCGTGTACTTCACTTTTCCAAGAGTGCCGTCTTCTCCATATGAGACTCTGGCATGTAAAGCTGTCGTATATGAAAGTGGGTCCAGAAGCCGTGAGCTGCTGCGAGATGAGGACATTGAGAGTATACTCTCATCGACTGAACCACTGCCTCTGCTGGGGTCAAAAATGGTGTCATCAACTGGGCGAGGGATGTTCAGTTCAGAAGGATACGACACTAGAGATTCCCCTTCGACGGAAGTTTGGCGCTGATATTCGGGTGACATCAATGCATATGCGATCATACTCGTGGGCTCATCATCATACACGGGAACAACAATATCGTTCATGCCTACAGGCAGAAGTAGCCTTGGTCCACCTTGAAGCTCTGCCTCTCTAAAAGATGAAATATAGATAGGTCTATGCTCGCCAAATGCATCAAGCTTCTGAGAGCTAAGCAGGAAATTCTTGTTGATGGAACGGTAGAAATTGAGGAATGGCATACCTAACCAGCTTTCTGAGTTCTCATAATTTTTACTCGGTAAAGCAGGTGAAACTGGATAGGCCACCTTGAATTCGTTTAGCTGTTCTGGTAGATCTATTGGCTTTAACCCATATGAGGTTGGAGGGAAAGTTGAATAGTTTGACATGGAGGAAGGAGGAAGCAAGATCTTATTATTGGTTGGAATCTCCACTGATGTTTGACGCTCGCCTATCCATGCTGCATCAAGAGTGGCTGATAGATTTTTCATAGCTATCTGGCCATCAGACTGTGTCCTGCGAACATCGAGTTTATTTTCCAGAAGATTAGAATTATCAGGTAAGGTGTTGCTTGGAGAAACTTCTCCCCCGTCTTCCTTTTCCTGACTCAAATCTGAATTTGTATCGGCTTCCTTCTGAACCTTATTTAATAAGCCAGTGTCACCAGTAGAATCACCATCAGGATTCAGATTAACCTCTGAGCCAGGAAGAAGAGAGTTGATCACACCATTCATCTCGGGGAGCGTCTGGCTTTTAGCCAAGGGTGATTTCTCATTTTCTTCTCTCTTTGTGTCATCACTGCCCTCAAGCTGATGTAAAGTTGATGCACTAATCAAGCGGTGATCCCACATATATGACTGAAAAATCAACTGTCTGCGAATCCGGTAAAGCTCAAGAATGTCAACAAGAGGATGGCCTTCCTTTACCTCCCTGTGCAACATCTTTTGCATATTTTCCTGGAAGAAATGTAAGATCAGTTACAAAACAGACCGTTTGACTCAAAATGATGCTTTTTTATATAAAACACTAATTATTACCTCGAATTCTGCTTTCTCTCTTTGCAGCACTTCTTCGAGTTCACCCATTCCACGCCTAAAACCTTTCGCTGCAATTTGACTGATAGCATTTAAAACTTCAGAAAACAGAAGCTCTGCTCTCTCTATCACCTGCTTAGTAAAATAGGGAGAACTCAGTCAAGTCACTGTGTTAAATTTCAAAACTTTATCTAAGAAAATCACAGGTATTTAACCTCATCTGTTTCTCTCTGTATCCAGTCCTGGTTATCATAGTTAAAACTAAGAATTGATGGTGGAAGGTAGACCGAATGAACATCTATAGTAGCGTACCGGAAGCAAGCAACCATGTTCCCAAATCTGCATGGGCACAACTTGTTAGACCAAAGGAAAATACAGACGTCTTAGAAAATTAAGTCCTATTCGGCCCCAAGGAGATGCAAGAAAAATACCCATAGAACCGAAGACAGTCTCTATGCAGAGAATGGCCACAGCATGCTACTCTACTGGCAGCAGCGTGATTTGAGAAACTGAGCTCCAGAAACTTCCCAAACGATAGTCCCCAAGCAGCATCAGACATCACCACTCGCAGAGTCGCTGGAGGGAAGCCGTTAGGTCGCGGGCATCTCAGGCATCTATGCCACATCCAGATCTTCCCCTCCTTTTCACCAGGTAAGAGATAATCTTGGAGCTTCTTGACAGATATCGTGAGGCTGCCTTGCCGATGAGTGTAACAGTGAACGTGAGCTTCTGATGGCATCTCACATGAACGGCACCTGTAACTCTGCAATTTGAGCATTTATTTGGGTTACCAAATTATTATGTTACTGTAATAGAGAAGTCAAAATATTAAACTAAACTATAATAGAAAAAAACTCACCTGATCGAACAAATGATCTCTTAAGAACCGTCCCAAGGGCTTATCAAAACTACCATAATATTTTATCCGAAAGAGGTGAGACCTCTCACACACAGTTCCTTTCCACACTGATCGGGACGACAGAGAAACCAAAATGCTCTGGTGATCAGACGGTGACGGAGGAAATTCCTCTTTTTGAGATTGTGGTTCCTTTGGATTCTCACTGTTTTGATGTTGGACGGTTGTAAGCTCTGAACCATTGTCTTGGTTTACGGCCATAACGCTCGTACTATTTTGAGAACTCTTTCGACAAATGCCTTGTCCTGATGAATATAGGGACTTGTCCAATGTGTCCTCTGCCTCAACAGTTGGATTGCCTTTCTCTACTGGTGCGTCTGCCACTGCAGACTTTTCAGACAAATCTGAGTTTCTTCCTTCTATCACACGGTCAGGCAAATTCAATGGACCATTATAGCATGAAAATGTGAAACTCGGATTGATTTCTCTAGCCTGCCAGCCTGAACCATTGGGTAACAGAGGATTCATATCCTTCTGGATGGATAGATTGTCAGTGGTCGAAAGCAACTCTGAAACTGGGACACTGTTTGCTCGTTGTGGTTCGGAACCAGATAGCATTGTTGGAGATTTTTCATACGCAGAGACCATGAAACCTGGCACAGTAGATATCGAACGTTCAATGCTCGTAGCTTTAGCTGGAAGTGCCACAGTAATTGGGGAGTTCAAGGGAAGTTCTGGTGAGGCTCCTTCGTCAGCAAGAAATGAAGTCTCGAGTGCTAAATGGTAAGCTGCAAAAACTCCATATTGCACCACATGCTTCACTTTTTTCAACTCATCTTCATTAGCACCTCTAAGCAAAATCTGAAGAAAAAAGGACATAATAAGTAAGAAGTAATGTCATGAGGCAATCAGATTTAAGAAATATGCCCTGTATTCTAAATTATAGTGGCTGGGAATGCTTACTGTAAATCCTAATGGCTTTGGACAACCCTCAAAATACATCAACGTCTTCACTACTTTCTTTCCAGCTTGACCAGCTGGACCATGTTCTTCAATAAACTTATCCACCCGAAAATTCTCACAGTAACCAAGCTTTTGAGAGGAGAGGTGGTCTACTGAAGGAATTATCTGAGCACCAGTGCAGCGAGCAATGCGATCCAAAAGTGGCCTTTTAATGTTTAGAACAAGAGATATGTCTTTGGCTAGAAGATACTCTTGTGCATATCGCGAAACTGATCTTTCGACTAGTAGAATATTTGGACGTTCAGCGTGAATCTTTGCAACAGCCATTTTTAGATGATCCTTTTCCTGAAAACCAAAATAA